CATTGAGATTGGTCCTCATCCAATCTGCTCGGGAATGGTAAGATCCAATCTAGGAGATACAACGCAGACACTCCCTACATTGAAACGTAAGGAGAATCCATGGAAAGTCATTGTTGGAAGCCTCACTTCACTCCACGATATGGGTTTCAGCATTAACTGGTCAGAGTACCATCGGGATATCGAAGGGGCCTGTCGCCTGCTGACCCTCCCGGCTTATTCCTTCGAAAATAAGAACTACTGGCTTGACTACCGAAATGATTGGACGCTGCGCAAAGGCGACCCGTGGCTGGCTGTCAGCAACGGCGACGAGGACAAGCCAGTGCCGAAGTTGTCAAGCTCTGTTCATCGCGTTGTGGAAGAGAACTACAAAGGAGCAAACGCGATCGCCGTGTTTGAAACGGATCTGTCAAGCCCGGAAATCCACGCCGCTATCAGTGGCCATCGCGTCAATGGTTCGGCTCTTTGCCCTTCTGTAAGTACATTGCAAAAGATATGTATCTGTTTAACTTAGACAAGCCTTGCTAATTTCTCGCTCGCAGTCCATGTACGCCGATGTGGCTTTGACCGTTGCTCGGCACATACAACAGAGGCCGGAATCTGGATTCTCCTCGTCCGGGCACAATATCACTGCGATGGAAGTTCAACAGCCGCTGATCGTCAAATCCTCGAGAGAAGAAGAAACCAGGGTATTGCGCATATACGCGCGTGTCGATCGACACTCGCAAACCATCAAAGTTGAGTACGTCTCAGCATCTCCTGGCCAAAAAGCGGAAACGAAACACGCTACCTGCTGCATCGAATTTGGATCTCCGGAGAAGTGGCTGCGGCGTTGGTCACACGATCTATATCTGATCCAAGACCGCATTGCCGCGTTACAGAAGCTCACGGATTCCGGAGAGGTCAGCAAGATCACGAGTCGCTTGGCGTATCGACTTTTTGCCAGTTTGGTGGACTATGCGCCACAGTACCAGCGGATGGACCAGGTCCTGCTTGCGAGCAGTTTGTTCGAGGCCACAGCAACAGTAAAGCTAGATGATGGCGGCGACGATGCGACTTTCGTCTATAGCCCCTACTGGATTGACGCTTTGCTACATCTCTCGGGCTTCGTCATGAATGGAAATGACACTCTTAACTACAATGAAGCGGTCTACATCTCCCATGGGTGGGAGAGTCTGCGATTTGCCAAGCCTTTGAATCCGCAAGGCCATTATCAGGCATATGTGAGGATGCTTCCCAGGGATAAAACGATGGTCGGAGGAAATGTGTGGATCCTATGCGATGGAGAGGTCGTTGGTCTGGCAGAAGATCTTCGTTTCCAGCGAGTTCCCCGCACAGTCCTAGATATGCTTCTACCGCCAGCTGGCGTCAAAAGGACAGCAGAGAGGCAATTACCCAAAGTTGTTCCACAGAAGCCTCTACCAAAGAGACCAGTCCCGTCGTCAGAGACTCAGTTGGCCCCCGTATCCTCGCGACCAGGTCCTTACCTCGATATCATTTCCGCCGAGCTCGGACTGGAAGCTTCAGACATTTCTCCGCATGATCGACTGTCTGATTTGGGTGTCGATTCCTTGATGTCACTGACCTTGGCCAGCAATCTTACCGAACAATTTGCCATTACGATTTCTCACAGCGAATTGATGGACTGCCCGACAATTAGCGAGCTCCTGGCCATGCTGTACCAGAAGCAGGGTGAAACCAGCAGTTCCCTGACCAACTCTTCAGTGGCGAAGGGCCAAGACAGTGGCAGCTCTTATCAGGCTTCAGACTCTTCGCAGTCGTCCGCGATGGTGGAGACTTTCACTCCTGATAGTACCATTTCAGATACTGCAGAGCTAGTCAGGTCCATCATTGCGGATGAAACCGGCATCCCCACGGAAGATCTTGAATCATCTGCAGATCTAAGCGCACTTGGGGTCGATTCCTTGATGAGCCTTGCAGTCCTTGCAAGACTCCGAGAGGTAGGGGTTGAGCTGCCAACGAACTTCTTTCTAGAAAACAATACAATGAATGAAGTGTTCAGAGCTCTACCCAGAGTATCGGGGTTCGTAACGCCGCAGTTGCAGGGCATTGAGAAAGTCGAAACAGGAGACCAGAAACTGCACGCCACTAATCACAACCAGACGGATGTCAGCTTCCGGGCCAGAGTGGTCCACCTTCAGAAGCGCTCCAATCCCACGAGTACTGGCAACTTCTTTCTCTTTCCAGACGGCTCGGGGTCCCCATTCTCGTATGCGGCGCTGGAGCCCATCAGCCCAGACTTTGACGTGTACGGACTCGTTTGCCCATTTATCGACTCCCCCGATGACTATATTGGCGGCATTGAAGCAACAGTGAAAATCTATCTCTCTGCCATCAGAGACCGACAACCTCATGGGCCGTACCATTTTGGAGGGTGGTCTGTCGGTGGCGTCTTGGCATATGAAGCATCAAGGCAGTTGATTGAGGCCAAGCAGAAGGTTCAATCACTGATCCTGATTGATGCCCCTTGCCCGGCCGTCCTTCCTCCGATGACTTCCTCTCTGATCGATTACTTGGCCTCAAAAGGAGTCTTCGGCCAATCCCATGGTACGTCCGCGCCAAAAGCTGGAGAGAAGCGGCAAAGTCTCCTGAAGCACTTCGATTCGACGGTTGCCAACCTGGCATTGTACAAGCCGAGGCCGATTATTTCACTCGCAGACACGCCAGAAACTTTGATCATTTGGGCCCGGGAGGGGGTCAATGGTGATTCCAACGTTTCGCAGTCGTCAAATTCAACGGAATCCTGGATATTGGATAATAGAAGTGATTTCGGCCCTCACGGTTGGGAGACCGTACTACCAGTGCAGCACATTTCCACGGTCCCTGTTTCTGGAAACCATTTCACAATGATGGCTGGTCAGAATGTAAGTGCCTCTTATACGTGGAGAGAAGACTTCAGTTTCTGACGTACATTTTCGACAGGCGGTGGCCGTGGCCAGCCATTTACAGAAGTATTTCGCAGGCTTCGCATAGTGTGGCGGCAGAGGTAACACTCCGGCTAGCCATATCCACAGAGTAGTAAAGAGAGTTGGAACTATAGGACGCTATCCTTGTCTGCGCATCCGCTGTAATAGATGATAATGTCGAGATCAGTCCAGGGAGTGCATTACTGACATAGTGAGTTACTTTGTGTTGTAAGCTGGCGAATAATATAGACACCTGGCCAAATAAGAGTACTCCATACTGGTACTGGTTTCCTATAGCAAGTTACACATGCTCTTATGCACCCAGAATCGTTTTTTTAACTAACTGACCCCTTAATAATAATTACGCTTTGCGGCTTAGCCTGAATTACGGAGTAGACAACCGATGCTGGAAGGGGTATAATTATGTCTCCAAAGTCCTTATTCTTAGCTTTTCTTTTCTTTTAACTCATTTCACTTGGCGCATGACTTTTGACTACTGTGGTACCGCTGCACCAAGGTTGGATCAGTCTCTTGTCGAGCGTCTCGACGCTGACAAGAAACGCGATGCATAACTAATTGAAACCAGTCTGCTTCCTGAAGGACGGCCGTGACTAGGAAGAATGCTACCGATATACAAACTCAAGGTAATACTCCCACATATCCTCACGGACGTTAATCACCGACACTCAAAATATCACTTTGTCAAATGCTTCATGCAACCCTCGCGCCTGTAGCCAAGTCTCTAATGCCTGCATATCTCCCCGATTGGCTCTGTGACCACTTCGTTCCCCTAGGGAATCTGTGATCTCCTCCATCCCAGAGAACACTCTCTGAACGTCCTTTGTCTCTCGATACCTCTCACTGACCTTTTTCTGATGGCTCGGGATATCACCCCACGAGTGTGTCTTAATGAAGCTCATATAAGCATCAATGTCTGTCGACACCCCCTCTAGACACAACACACCAGGCTTGCCAGCCAGCACGAAGCCTGTGAGGGAATACTCAGGGGCGTGATTAACTAGATCATTCCGCTTTTCTCGCGTTGAGAGGGACGGGAAATAGAACCACACTCTGACAATCGGCTCGGAAGTGCTCTTGGTAGCCTCAGGTTTTGGATCCCGTTGAGCCTCAAGAAAGCGCAGGGCTTCATCCTGGACGTATTGAAAGGCCTCAAATACGTCATCTGGGGGCATTGCAGCGGCCAGCGTGGCCAGCTCAGCTTTGGACATCCAATCAGGCTGCCGCAGTGAATAACTCAGTGACGGTGGCTGCGCTAGATCCGGAGCATCGCATTGTACCGGAATAGATATGTTGACTTGTATTGATTTTTCTGCTCCAGCAATTGGTAAACAGACTGCAAGGTGTAAGGTTGAAGGTAACCCCGAGGGCACTACAGATGGATCTTCACACCACTTGTGGAGTTTTTCAACGCATTGAGTGGTAGACACAGGTATGTCGATCTCTCCAGGAGATGGAAACATGGCTGTCAGGAGGTCAATTGTGGATAGCTGAGACTCCATCAAGTCCGGTGGTAGCAGGAATAATTGTTTTCGCGCCATTTTGAGGATGTCAAAACGCGGAATGGGTGAGTAGCTCTTTGGTAGGCAGCTTCAAAAGGTGTTGGCTTTTCAGTAGCCGCAATTGATTGGCTAGGTTAGCATTCTAGGATATGCTTAACAGCATCATAAGGTTGGACCTAAAGAGGAAAGATACCACCCCCTGGCGCGCTTATTCTTGGGGAAAACACTAAACTTAAAATAGGTTGCACGTGACTGTGTAGCGAAGGAAAATAGGTAGGGTTTGCTTAAACTGGTTTAATAGTTTATACATACTTACATGAAGCACTGAGCGTGTATAAGTGCTACATGTGACTATGTGTGTGCATTACTCGAATCTGATTAGTCATTCCTGTCCTGAAGCTATATGTAAGGTATCTACAATATGGCAGCTCTTCAATAGCGAGATTCCTGCTGGCTGGCTAACTGCGGATATATAGTTTATTTAATAGCTTAACAGGATAACTGTGATAAGCAGGCAAACTATGAAACGAATGTAATTTTTTTACACAATTAAGGCGGTAAGATGGCCGAGTGGTTAAGGCGAGCGGTTTAAGTTAAGCGCTGTATCACTACAGGTTAAAATCCCGCTTGACGAGAGTCTCGTGGGTTCGAACCCCACTCTTACCATTATTCTTTTTTGGTTTTACCGTTTTAACTTGGCGGATTAATAGATTAGTGTGGCAGGAACGTCAGCAAGCATGCTTAATACGGGGGATTGTCGCAATAAAATTTAAGTTTCTACAACTTGACGACAAATTGCAGCTACATAGTGCATCAATTTATATCCATATCATTCTTAAGTCTAGTTAGTCACTTATATGCGAGCATGACTGGATATGGTTGATCAACCAATGCAGAAAGTTGCAGATCCATGCAACATGTACTTTATATATATGTATTATCGTCCTTAATTTTCTTTTATTAGAGGTCAAAAACAAAAACAGTGATTGCAAGCATCATTCACAACCTACGGTTTCAATCATGGCGCACATGACAATACACGCAGACTTAAGCAGGAGGAAGAGCATTCTTGCCCAACTGCGACCCGTGCGCTGAAGTCCAAACCCACTCGCTCACAGCGCTAACACACGTTCCATTCTGAAAGTATAGACGGAGATCGGGCCCGTTACTGGCAAAACTGCCCCAGCTGATAATAGCAACCTCTGAGCCCTGGATGACTGGGGTGATGGTTCGCTTGTCGTTGTACCCCTTGCCGTGGTCCCAGCAGACCTGCCAAATAGTGTTGTCCGAGTTGACAAAATAGATACGCATGTAGATGGAACTGTTGCCGGCTCCGAAGCTGGTGGCTGCAATGGCGGTGCGTGGGGGTGCCTTGTCAAAGATGGTGACGAGGTCCGGGTACCACCCTTTGTGCGGATTATAAGCTCTTTGGACGAGTTTGAGGTCGTCAGTTGGAACCAGACCCTGTGCGCATATTTTATTAGTGAGTGCTTCCGTATTAATGTTTGCGTATGGAGGTTCGTACCGGATGCTTGGGCCATTGTACTCAGTATAGCGGAAGGAGGTGGCTCCGATGCCAGTGCCGGGGAGGGCAGCTCCAAGGTTGGTGCCCTCCTTCCAGCCATCGCCTAAGTAGCACGTTAGTAAAAGGCATCAGAGACTTGTGATTCGACACACCATTCCACATGTACTCCTGGATTGTGTTATCTGGCTTCTGGCCATAGATCCGCAACTGCAACGCATCTGTTCCTGCCAGGAACACGGCAGTAATGCGAGAGTACGGTGCAACTTGGAACTTAGCACTTCCCAGGGCGCCGTTGTACCATCCACTTCCGGAGTCGTAGGCAAACTCCTGCAGGGTGTTTCCTTCAGTGAGGGTGTAGACACGGATCTTCATATGGTTAGTGCGGAGCAGAGCCAATGGCAGATAATAAAATACGTTGTTCAGCTCCTTGGAAGTCGCAGCCACGGACTGCCGAGTTTAGCCTTGCTGATGACATTCTTTTCGGTGCCGTTGGCCCAGCTACCCTCATAGAGACTCTCGCGGATACTGCTATAGGCATCCTGGAAGTAAACACGGATATGGCTGGTTGTATTAACCGCGGCAATGCCAGTGCCTATATTTGTCAGGTCGAAACAGGAGGTGAAAGGGGCATTTGATCCAACATACGGAAGAGGACTTGCTGTGCTCCAGCGGTAGACATTGTTCGGGGACTTGGGTTATCTTTTCAGGTCCTAGGGCTGTTGAGTAGTGCTCGAGGTTATGATTATAGCTTGATGGGCGGACCTGTCACGGCCTTTTATACACGAACAGAGCAATAGAAGGGGAGAAAACGTGGTGAATGACTTATTTGCCCATGAAGGGAAATCTCTCTTCTCTTTGACTTTGCTTTGTTAAAATGTGCAATCAACCTGATTATTGTGATTTGAGAACAGTGAGCTGTGTTGTACATGCATTTATGTCTGGATCCCGCTGTGACGCTTGCAATGCATGTACGTTTGTATGCTGGGATATCATTGGGCTAATTGGTTCAACATCTGCTTTACAGTGTAAATGGCTGGCTGATATTACGATGCTGGCTGAATGTAACTACAGTAGGGTATTAGGACGTGCCCCTCCCAAATGGTCTTCTTCAAACGTCAATTCTTACTGAAAATCAACGACAGCCTAACAACCTGTTTCTAAAGTATTCTAAATTCACTAGAATTGGAGGTTGTGGGGATATCATGAACTGGATAGAATACTACAGAGATATACCCCACGATATCACTTAGGTGCTTGATCCTACTATCATTAGAGATCTGGATGGTCCCACATGCAGGCGTTGAATTTAATTATCGAATGGAATTTAGTATCTGATAATGTATCTTGCATCTTGGCTAATGCAACCACAGAGGCCATTGAGGCCTAGACCATATGCCTACATAGTTGTTCATTCACAATCAAAGTACTTCCTACACATCTGGCGCTAAGCAGAGTTAGCACAGTTTAACTATAGGTATATAAGCAGCTTAGAGATTTGATTATCACATTCTGAACGGAGATGGATGCAAGATACTTAGAGATATTTAGAACAAAAACTGACAAAGGGCAGACATATATACCATATCAGTAAAGCGCATTCAAGGTATAATGATTTTAGAAAGTCAATCAATCTCTTAGGGAGGGGAAAGGAAAGAGGGTTTTGCTTCTACAATAGATGTGTCACAAACCGCTAGACTTAACAGAGATATTGTTGCTTTGTGGCTCTGCCACTGGAGAAGTCCAGATGTGATTCTATCAGCTTCCATGGCCATGCGCTGTCAGTGAAATTGCAACCTTACCAGTTCAGCCTAGCCACACTAATGTCTAGCCAGATCAAGGATTGAGAAGCGGGGCACTTAAAAGCAATGGCTTGCTCTCACCGTCCTCTCATCTTCAGCTAGACTTTCCGTCAAAGCAGATCCTAGGGATGGTCTCAGAAGCTAATCAGGACAGGATTGTAATACTCATCTGAACAGTTAGATTGGTAGCTGCGCGCCTCGCAAATCTAATGCGCCCGAAGGGTACCCCGTAGCTTTTACCTTCGCTTCGGCACCCCGGACTCGTATTAGCCTTGAAGTGCGAGCCTACTGTAGCCAGGAAGACGATACCAATACGACGACCCAACCCATGGTGGCTGGCTGATCAAGACGCACTAGACTATCTTTGTTCACAAAATGCAGTACTCCGTACTACCTAGAAATGAAGTACATACAGTGTATCCCCCAGCTGCTGCGAAACTATATCTCAGAACTGTGCTGAGCTGTTCAGCTTATGCATTTTCCTGCATGCTGGAGTTTTGATCACACTTTATTGCAATCTCCTCGTCATATTCATAGCCTTACTGAAGGTTCTACGATAGTGAATAAGAGCATTTTTGCCTTGTCTGATCTGTAGGGAGACAAGGATTGGTCGTGTCAAGTAGCCTACTACACTGCTTATTCCTTTTATAAATCATTACCAACTCTTACCTAGTCCATAGGCTTATCTACCTGAAGTGGTGCTTTTGCACAGTGCTCTGCATGTTACGGTCATACATTGCATCAAAGTCATAGCACTGTCTACAGCTGCAGGAAACACTTACCATACTCCGAGTAAGGGGTAAAGAATACACAGAGTATGTTAGTTTCAGCACAAGTGATAGGCACGGGATGTGGATCCTCAGTTAGCCTCTGCATGATCCTGAGATAAGCTGTGCATTGGAATGGGTGGTCTGCACTAGATCGCCTGGTCTGCACTGGATTGCCTGAACTCTATGTTTCAGATTAACTGAATGGCTGCACACATTCACCCCAGCACCCACTCGGATGCTACTCTAATGTTGGATCAAAGAGTAGTCCTGCATATAATAGCGCTACAAGAACATACGAATGGGCTCCGTTTCCTCAGTTTGAAAGTGAAGGCATTCCATCCAGTCTACCTACCCAGGTCCTAAAGAAGCTCAAAAATCCACGTGACCCACTGTCCTTCTACCACCGGTTCCAATTCTTAGCGAAATACGTTTGATCTGTATGTCGAATCTCAAAAGCGGTACTTTCTGCCGAATCTCCCCCAAAGGCGTCGCGTAATCTTAGGCTTGAGATAACTGTCCGCTCCACATCTGCAGATGGTCAGCATCCACTGATCATGGTACAGCTGGATGCCAACCAGGTGCAAATGTTTATACTTGTGATTTCTTTTCTGAGACATTCGAAACGGAAGCTGAACCATAACTGGGAAATCTACAGAATATCCATTCTACAGAGCACAAAACTACGGACGCCAAGATCATTTTCCGTCTTGCTGTAACTAGTGAGTAGTGCTGCCGTGGAAGTGAGCGGCAGGGGTGAGCGTCGCGCGACGCTCACCCCGATCACGTATGAGTGGGTGATCAACCCAAGGCACCGCTCATCCATCACGTTAAAAGCTACTCTAGAGTAGATTTCATAGCTCGCACTGAGTGCCAGATGGTGTGCCTTGATTGCTATGCTAAACAAATAATTATAACTGGTCAGATTACCGAGCTTATTGTCTCATTGCCCCTTTAAGTAGAGTAATGCCAGTGATGCTCCGTAATTTAGGGCACAGCTGTCCATGATCCTCAAAATACTACCTGGATAAATCGGAAGAGTACTGTCTGCAAGGTCCCCGTCTCACCTGCTGAATATGTCGCGTATGCATCATGGTGCTGCGAAGGAAGGGACAGCCATCTCCCCAGACCTCCATCGTTCATTAACTTCCTGGGAATCGAGATACAAGTTGAAATATACGACAGCGCCCTGCAGACAATTATGAGAGAAAACGGAAAGAATACATTGTGTACAACAAACACATTGGTTTGGCGGCTCTACGATGATTATAGCGGAAGTGGGCTCTACTAGATACCTGATCAATGCCGAGTCCTTAGGGTTCAGCAGAATGGTTGATATCAAGACTGCAACTAAGGCCACCCGCATACATTTTTAGTTTTGAACAGCTCTTTCTCTGGTTTATACCAAAACTGTCTGCTGGATTTTAAGATCTAAGGCTAAAGTGATATATGTTTGTGATTTATAGGAAGAAACATCTAATTCTGAGGGCAGGATGCTGGACTACTTATGCACCTAGATGTACGTAGGCAGCCCATGACATAGGGTCTCCCTCCAGTCCACCTGCGAATAACTCTGCCCGCACACGAAGAACTGCATCCCGATAGGCCGACGCCACCGACAATTTCTTCCCACCTGCTGGCGACTTTGTAGCAAGTGATTTGTAAAAGTAATCCGTAACTTTCACGCAGACATCATCTTTAGTGGGCCACAGGGACCCGATAACATTAGGGAAGCCAGCAACCTGGAAGGCGCTCGCAATGTGAAGGCTCTCGTCGGTGAATCGTGTGGCTCTAACCTCTGCGGTCGAGCAAGCTGAGAGGTACGCAACACAAGTTCGTCCTCCTTTCGAGATTGTACTGCATATGCTCGAAACGGTTAGTTTGTCAAGAATTACACCCGATTGGCTTTCTTTTTGCAGAAGCAGATGGCTATGAGACGGGTCGTGTGGATCTGACAACCCGTGACAAGCAAAATGAACAATTTCAGAGCCGCCAAGTCTCCCCAGGACGTGTTCGGCCGTGGGATTCTCTAGAAGTTCAGACCGGAAGACGCCGTCACACGCATTTCGAATGGCGAACCATTCATCCCTAACTCCATCCAACGGAGCTTGTCCCGGCGTCGTTGGCATTGTAACGACAAGGATTGACATTTCGTTTTCTGCATCACATCCCCGTCTTTGCGATAGGGAGTGCGCGTAGGCAAGAGCCCTGATCGACGACGTATAAGATGATATTGTTTGTTGCAGGCAGTTCTCTCTAGGATCCCCTTTGTAGCAGCCAGCCGCATGAAATGGAAACCTGGTGGCGAGTCCTGTTCCCAACCACCAAACATGGGGCACTCCTGTTTGAGAGTGACTATAACTTCCATTTATCTCCTGCAGAATGGGCTTGACGCAGGTATACCACAGCCACTCCAAGAACAGTCTATTGTTTGCAGATCTCGTTCCACTTCCCGCATCGCGGCCTTGGCCGGAGGTAGCTGTTGATGCTGATCTAGAAGCTCGAATTTCCTGATCTGATGACCACTTGTCGAGGCTTTCCTTCATCTCAGGGAGTTCTATCGACCTGATGCACTCACTAGAGACAATGATTGCATCCGCCCGAACAAGGGTTGCATTAACGACTATTATTACACCGCCGGTTGCACAGCTCTTAAGTTCGTCTAATGAGGGCTCCAACAAAAACGCTTCGTAGCCCTTTCTTTGACGGATCTGACAGACCACTTCCTTAAGCCTCTCTCCTGCTCCAATGCGCTGCCTCGCAAGCATCAGCCGGGTTGAAGCGTTGGATGAATCGACCGTCGAGATTTGAAAGAGGAGCCTCTTGTACTCGCGAGCCAGATCAGGACAGTCTTGTTCGAGGGCTGCGACGCTGTCTTGTTTATCAAACATGTATCGAAGAATGAGGCCACGGCCAAACTCCACTTTCTGAAGAGCTTCAGAGACACGGTTCTCTTGCAGATATAATGAACAGACCTCAGCAGCTAGGCCTGCAATTTGTAGTACAGCATGCTGCTGGTCGCTCAAACTCAATGATCGGTCGCACAATTCTGGGAGCATCTTAAGAGCACTGTCTCCCACCTCAATTGCTTCCGCAAAAAGACCTTCATCTTCCATAATACCAATCGCCATTTGAGCAGCCTTCACTCGAAGCGTTGTACGAGTTGTCGTACACCGACACGCTCGTAGAAAGAAATCCAATGCCTTCTCCAAATCTCTATGCTCGGACTCATAATAGTGGAGATTCGCTAGATTAATAGACGATACCGCCCAGTCAGGATCGTCCAGTGGTCTTGTGTTGTTGGCTTCCGAGAAGAGCCTGTTGGCTTCCTTGAAGCTTTCCGTGTCCCGAAGAAGCTCAAATTGTCGGGTGTAAATGATGGCCAGATTGTTTGCACATGAAAGGTGAAACGGATGATTTGCAGACATGGTAGTCAATTTCAATGCGCTCTTTCCAGCAGCCAAGGCTTCACTGAGAGTGCTCCTTTCCTCGGTTTGTTCATAAAAAAGGCGCAGACATGTGGCAAGAGAGCCCAGATATATAGCTTTCTCGGTAGGGTTTCTCTCTTTTTCGCTAGCAGCCTTCAATCTCTCCACGGCTTCTTGAAGGTCTTTCAACTCTCCTCCTCTCTCAAACTTGTCGCTTAACGTTAACGCCAGGCTATTCAGGCATTTAGTCTCCCCAAGCTCTGGGCGATCTATTGACAACCGAACGGCCTCGTGAAGTCGATCAAGTGCGTCATCAAGATGTGCAGTGTCTCCTGTGCATAGAAATTTGCGACTGAGCATATTCCCAAGGGCACAGAGGCGCAGTGGCCGTTTCATGTCGCTCAATGCAGTGGCAGCCAAAACCGACTCTTCATCATTGATTGCACTGTTCAAATACTCAGCATCCCCTGTTCGTTCACATTTCAACTCAAGCATCAACGCAAGGTTGTGCCGCCAGCCCGTAGCATCTGGATGTTCGCCGCAGATGGCAAGGGCCCAGCGGACTCTTTCAATTGCATAATCAAGTTGATTGGCGCCGAATATCTCTGTCGTTTCCTGGGAGAGCCTCAGAAGGACACTGGCAAGGGTTGCTTCACAGGAGGCTTGATCGTTCACTTCATGTTGACGTGCCAGTTCCACGGCGTCACAAGCGGTTGAAAAAGCAGACTTTGCGTGGTCAACCTCTCTAGTTTCGACGAAAAGGTCAGTTTGCAGTATTGCCAAATTTTGTAAGCTCGCTATTCGCGAAGGAATATGATTAAATGAGGCGCCTTCTTCGGCGTTCTGGATAGCGTTGTCAAGGTCTGATCTCTCCCCGTATGCTTTGTGTCTCTGATTAAAGATCATAACCAATAATTCTACGCTATATCGATAAGGCTCTGAACTCCGGCGGGAAGCCTGCTTTGCCTTTTTCGCTACCTCGATCGCCTGGTTGAAAACTTTGCTCGTTGGGGCAAGTTGGGCTTGCTCGTAGAGATCCGTTGCGTATTGTAGCGCTTCTTGCAATGTAAGAGCGCTCTTCCTCCCCGTTGGCGCTTTCTGGACAGAGTTCGACATTGCAGTGCACGATTTGAGCACGGTTATCAAGGAAGCTCGTGTGGTCCTATTGCCGCCAAATTTCCGGACTGGTAGTTCGGTTGTGACAATAGGGCCGTTGCTTTTAGGTCTCAAGCTCAATCTCACTCTCTCATATGAAGGTCAGCCTCGTCTTGGAAAGACCCCGCCTTCAGGCAGCCACCGGCTGGCCACGGCTTTGCGATCTTCCAATCGCTGCAAGGTTTGGTAATATGCTCATCACGAAGCTGATGCCACGTGATGAATAGGTATCATTTGTCGCTCTTTTCACAAACGCCTCCGGCCCCTCAACACCCAACAACCATCTCATTAACAGATCATTTCTATATACGCTCCATGAATTCGAACGATTTTAACGGGCAGAGAAAGGCCTTGCTTATTGGTAGTCCCTACGGCGGCCTTCAAGGCGTTCCCAACGATGTGACTGCTATGGAAACGATGCTCGAAAGCAGAGGGTTCACGATCGCCAAATGCTGTGGCCATCAAGCGACACGTGATGGCATTAGAAGCGACTGGAATTCACTGATAGACTCTCTGGACACAAATGACACTGTCGTCATTTATTACTCGGGTCACGGAGCCCTCGTGGAAGCCCCCAAAACGACTGCCGACGAAAAGTCACCGCGGCCAAAACACCATCAGTTCCTGGTTCCAATAGACTACGATGAGACTACAAGTGATGATTTCCGCGGCCTGCTCGATGTCGAACTCACCGACCTTCTTCGACGAACGACCGATGTAACCAGCAACGTCACAGTTATTTTCGATTGCTGCCACTCTGCAAATATCGCTCGGGATTCCGTTAGTTCCCGTAATCCACGCTACAAGTGCTTGCCGCGCCAGATGTACAATGTGGCGAGTTACATTGACGGACTTAAAAGAGACGGATACTTGCAAGGTAACATTGAGGCTGAGGACAACCCACACGCTGTAAAAATATGCGCCGCTGATGTCCACTCACTGGCCTGGGAGCGTAAGGGCACCGACGGCATACAAATCAGTATAATGACTGAAATCCTGGTGCGTGAGATTAACGACATTCGAAATCAATACTCTTCATGGAAAACAACAATGACCAAGGTCCGCGAGGAGGTTAGAAGGGAGTTTCATAATCAACGTCCTCAAGTATATGGCGCCCACCATCGACTGTACTTCTCCATGGAAGAACGGAGATCAACAGGGTTCCATGTCACTCTGAGAGGCGACTACACCATCCTTCACGCAGGACGAGTTGCTGGGGTGAACGTTGGCGATACTTACGTGATTTGGCCATATGGTTACGGCGATAGTGGAACGAACCTTATCGGAGACGCGCGAGTCTACAGTGTGTGTGGATTTGAAGCTACGCTTCTAGTCAGGTGGAACTCTAGCATGCCATCAGGAGGAGCATTCGCGTATCTCCAAACCCCAGCGCCAATCCCCAGATGGCCGATCCAATTCCCAGGAACCCTAGAAAGATTTGGAAGAACTATCGATCAGTCAAACGTACTTCGACCTTGGCTTCATAATGAAGAGAGGGATCCATTTCTGAAGTGTGTTTATGAAGGCAACGATCTCATACTATACACCAACGAAGACGTCCATATTGCTTCCATGGAGAGATCAAGCAACTATTTCGGAGGTTTGCTCAAGGCTGCTGAGCAGCTAGCGCGCGCACAGCACCTTCTCAACCTCGAATGCAATAATGAGGAAGAGAGACTTTCCCATGACTTCCGTGTTTCTCTGAGCCCTAGGCACAATAACAGTGTGAGCATCCCAGAGGGAGGCGAAATCTATGTTAAGATGGAAAATCACGGCGCTCATAAAATTTATGTCCACGTTTTCTATATCACAGCTACTGGGCTGATTACGGAGCTTGAGAAGAGGTCTTTCGGGAATCGTCAGAGCGCAACACTAGGTGAAAACTGGATGCGAAAATGCGGGGGTATCGAAATTACGTGGCCACGAGGGGTGCCTCGGACATCTCCTATCACGGAATACATTGTGTTTGTGATAACGGATCAAGAGGTGGATTTGAGCATTCTCGAAACTTCAGAGGCTCCTCTCCGAAACGCCAAGAAACCAGCAGAGCTTTCTCGGATTCGCTACGATGTAGTTCATGAAAATCTTAGGGTTCTTCCAGCTGAAACCATTCCAAGTGATGCAAGTGGTTAGTCACTAGGATTGCCTTTGGGAAGAGGCTATATCGGTGTGCTCTTCGCCTCAACTGCAGTCTGTAATATGTTTGGAGGTATCCTGAGGCCCGCTTTGAGGTTAGAGGTCACGGTCATTCAAGAGCATCCCCTTATAACGCGGCTCAAAGCCTTATTGTTGTTTGTCCTCTTTATTATTCGTGATATGGAGAGATAGTGATGGACCTCTAGTATTTCAATCACATGATTTGTATTCGAAACTTCAATGTTTATAAATATCCCGGTAGTTGTAGGCTCCAGGAATTGATGAAAGGAAGCTGGTAGGAAACCGTGGACCAGCTCGCTCACTTTCTTACTATATGGTTTTTATGTTCCTATAAGACTATTGCAATGACAGTTGTCAAGAAGGTACAGGATGCTGCATAGGCAGCGTTTTCAGCTTGATGACTGATACTCACCTCTGCCAATTTCGTAAGTGTCGATTTGCCTCATCATCTAGATTAATATCTTCATCGACAAGCCTATACCGCTGTCGACCGCAAAATTTGGCTTGGCTTTCAATGAATTTATCAGTGGGATCGACCTTGGGTTTAGCTGAAAGGTCCGCAAAGGGGATTGCTGCAGCAGGTTCACGGTAGGTGCTAAAAGAACCAGAATAAAGATAAGAGAGAACCGTATGGCTATATACTGCCTCCTGTTCGCTTAGTGGTTTGTCAAGCTATATCAGGAATCAATGGTTCTACCAACCTTGCAATTCAGAGCAGAGTAATCAGTCCTGACGTCGTCAAGGGCATGGAGTGCTTTTCCCGGTCTTTATTGTCGTTATTCAACCTGCCCCGGTTGTGAGAGAGAATGAGGACTTGATTCAAACTATCGAACTATGTGAGATATAAAGTATCTACATATGAGGCAGCAGGCGAGATGTGTGCGGAGCTAGGCCTAATTTGGAGGCGTAGGCGAGATCACGCTGGTGATCATCCCTTCTTAAATTAGAACAGAACTTATCCTAGCTTCTAAGGTGGCAGCTGATTAACTCATACTGGGCCCAGGCGACGGGCTGATTGTTTCTGTTTAGGTAGCCGGCCACTCGCTCTTATATGGCTCAGCAATATCTTTAAGCCATAGATTAGGTCCGACGGGATTCTGTTGTCCATGCATCAGCTTCTCCTTCCAGTCCAGCCCTATCGATCTCGTGTTCCTAGTCTTACAATTGACATATCTAGGCCTAGATAAGGTTAGATAAGCTTTTCCGTTCTAAGAGGCCCTAGGTCATATGCATATTATATGGGTTAGGCATGTTCAACCCATATCCATGCGGGTTGGATCAGGTCAACCCAGACCAACCCATTTTGCGGATTGGGTCACGAAACTATCCAGATTACAGCTAATTGACAGATTGCAGGGTTGACTCATAGAATACGATCTATAAAGATCTCAACCCAATAAATGATTTTCCGGCTATTCAACGAGGCTCAAAGTAAAGCTCCCGTTAATTCTCCTCCACAGTATCGCGATACAGATAGTCCGCGAACTCGTCGGGGACCTGGCCACCAGCCATCTCATTCTCCTCTGCAAAGGTCCTGATCTCGGCCTCATCCTTGTCTGTCAGTGAAATCTGGAGAGCACCCCAGTTTTCCTCCAAGTACTTCACCCGTCTCGTCCCTGGAATGGCAAAGATATCGTTCCCTTGTTTCAAAAGCCAGGCCAAAGCCAACTGAGATACAGTGCAACCTTTCTTCTCCGCCAGTGCCGCGAACTGACTGGCAATCTTGACGTTGCGCTCGCGATTCTCTTCTAGAAACTTGGGTATGACCTTCGGTCGCTTATCCTCACTATTGCCGACTGGCTCACCCCTGCTGAAAGTGGACGTGATAACCCCGCGTCCAAGGGGACAAGACGCCACAAGAGCCACACCCAGTTCTCGACAGGTTGCCAGGAGATTCGTGCCTGTTGGGCCCTCAATATCGCGTGAAAAGACGCAGTACTCGGTTTGGACGGCCACGACGTTGGCGATCTTGCATGCGCGGCGAAGGGTCGTGGAAGAGACGGATGACACGCCAATGTGCTTGATCTTGCCTTCTCTGGGACAGAATGAGCCTACGAACCTTCACCATTATGGGTTTGTGCCTTACCCCTGAAGCTCCACCATAGCTCTCATGGTCTCCTCGATGGGAGTCTGCGGGTTGGGACTGTGCAAATAGTCTGCGGTAGAGAGCTGATTAGCAACACAGCCCTCTGTCCAGTAGACGGATTTGGGTAGCTAACAAAGGTCAATCGAATTGACTCCCAGCCTTTTGAGGCTTTCATCGCAAGCTTTCTTGCAATATGCGGCGGAACTGTTGATCTCGTGGAGTTTTCCTCCCTGGACAAACCCAAACTTGGTCGCAAGAAAGATCTGGTCGCGCTTTCCGGTGCGTCGGAACCATTTTCCCAGGAGCTCCTCATTGTCGCCATAAAGACTTGGTAGGTAGAATTAATCAGCAATTGGATCCTACTGATTGGTGCTGCTGGAAGACGTACTCGGATGTATCCCAAAATGTCTCTCCCAGCTCGACGGCACGATCAAGGACCTTGAATCGCTCCTCGTCGCTGGGAATCGAACCATAGACCCAGAAGGACATTCCCATCAGACCGAGGCCCAGGGCCGGAACAGTTGGACCATTTCTGCCCAGCTGGCGGTTGACAACCATGTTGGAATTCATATCAAACACTGTACAGTGAAGATATATATATCGGCGGAATTACAGTGGATTGATCTGTTCCGGGAGTTGTAAAGGTCGACCAAGTCGGACTCATGCTGGATACTTATAGTTATCGCCCCTATGCAGATCAATGAGGAATATCAGTTCTTCCCACAAGGACCTACTGCAACTCAAGCTCTGAGCCATCAAGCGCCGCCTTGCTAACAGCGGCTTCCCATATAGGGAGGTTGAACAGCCAATCAAAGTAAATCATTGCCGAGTAAGCCTATTGCCTTGAAACCCAGACAGATTAAGAACAGAGCAAAAAAAAGCTTATTTCCATCTTGGATCATTTGAAGAATGGCCATAAGTATCCCGGGCACCCTTTTGGGATGCTGAGAGACCGTTATTCAGGATGTCCAATCAAGGGCAAGAGCATCCGAGTAGACCAATCAGCATTATAGCGAAGGTCCACTAGTGGGCCCCCCACAAGGCGGCAATTAGCGAGTGGGGCCCCTCGTCCCCTAAAGGAGTGGCGGGAGGCTCTTATCTCACCTCAGCTCAGGTTCTGTCTCCCCGGAAGATGAKAGCGGACACTGTGGTTTAGCAATCAAATGGACAGTTGGATGTGACTACTGGACGCATGGGCAAAAGAAGAGTCAGGACGGGCTGCCAGACATGCCGGTAAGTCTCTGTCAAAGTATGCCTGCGTATGGCTGAGATCATTCTAGGATTCGCAAGGTCAAATGCGATGAAGGCTATCCGGCGTGCCGTCGGTGTCTTTCCACTGGCCGCACCTGTGATGGATATGGGATCTGGGGCGGCGGGAGCTCCAACAGGCTGACGAAACCTTCTGTCGTCGCTGTGAACTCTGCACTTGTCATCCGACCAATATCAGATTTCCTACTGTCCACGAGGACCGACAATGAAGAGGGCCGTTATCTTAACTGGTTCAAAGAACGCACTGGGTCGAAAATGTCAGGTTCCTTTTTCTCAGAATTCTGGAGCGGCTTCGTCCTACAGGCTGGTATGAGCGATCCCGCAGTGTTGCAGTCCATCCTTGCCCTAAGCTCGGTCCATCGGCAAGGCATCTTGAACGATGATGGTCTCAAGACAGGGGACGAGGAAAAGGTGGCTCTGACCCGCTATAGTAAGGCGATTAATTATCTGCAGCCTCATTTCAGGGCAAAGGACCGGACTGCCTTCCGGATAGCTCTCATTGTCTGCATTGTGTTCATTGCGCTAGAGCTGCTTCGAGGCCATTTTGAAGCGGCACGTATCCATCTTCAACAGGGCTTGAACCTCCTCGAAGGGTCAGGTCTCTCGAAAAGAAAAGGACACATTATTGTAGGGCAGAGTCAAGAGTATGTTGATGACTGGATTGTGCAAGCATTATCCAGGTTGCACATTCAAGTCGAGCTACTTAAGCAAGTCCACCGTGGTTCTTCTCTACGGCTCCAGATCCCTTACTTGCAATGTAAATCATCTACGTTCCCCTCTGTGAAAGAGGCGTGGTCCTGGCTTCACCACCAGATGGGAACTGTCTTTCATTTGAATGGAGAAGTGCTTGGACACGTCTGTCCGAAGAGCGATCCCCCAGCAGAGCTGTTCCAGCGTCAGCAATCCATCCATGAGAATCTTACCCAGTGGCTGAACACATACAATGCCACTATCCAGGCCATGAACGGCCGTATGCCCAAAGATCAGGCGCAAATCTACGGGCTGCTTCGCGCATATCACAATATGATAACTATCATGGCGGCGACCTGTCTCTTTCCTGGCGATGAAATGGTCTTCGACCTGCATACCGACCAGTTTCTGGAAATGATCACTATGCTGGCGCAACTCTGGAAATTCCTCTCGAGGTATTCCGCTTTTGGCTCTCGACCCGCTCAGTTCTTCATGTCGCGTTCGATAGGAGACATGGGCTGGATTGCTCCACTCTACTATACCGCCATCAAATGTCGCGTGCACCGGATTCGACTCCACGCTGTCCGGCTGCTGGAAGCTAGCTTCCACAGGGAAGGGTTCTGGGATTCACAGATCTTGGCGTTCGTAGCGCGAAAGGTGATGGAGATTGAAGAGGGGGACTTCTATCAGCTTCTAGATTCGGTGGAAGAATTTGCGCTGCATCGCCCTCCAAGGCATGTAGATATGCTGTTTCCGGCCCTGCCTGAATCTTGCAGACTGTCCGATGTCGAAGTGAGTCTGTTGGGCGATCCTGTCAGTACGATTTCAATTCTGGGCAACCCGAGCGGCCACGGAACAGGTCGCAAAATCTGTGTTGCAAGTTACGAGGTCGCATTTTGACCGACGTCTGTGACAGCAGGTTGATTCGATATATTTCCCATATGAATTAATATCTTCGATCATTGGTGGTTATAGTTCTGGTGACAGGAGTCTCCCTTGAGTAGGTGCGGGCCCGTCCTGTACAAACCCGCATGGCTTAGTTCTTACTTGCACAGCGCGACCAGTTATTATATTCATTGCTCGAATAGCCTATGTTACATTGGAATCATTATCAGTGCAAAATGCATTCGACTGATATCTGCGGGGACCAGAAGTACAGGCTACTGGGACCCAGCCACTGTCTCATACCTTGCCAGAAGCACTGTCTCGTCGGCTCCATGACGAGAAACTCATAGAGCGGAACGTTCCTCTCTTCGGTGGTCGGATCCGATTCTCCTCCTTCTCAGCCATCGGCGCTGGGCGCACCTGGTCATTTCGCTTCTTATAGAGCCACCAACTGGACATAACAACCAGCGTGAGAGGCACTGTTATCGCAGCCCATAGCCACCATACCGATATCGATTCAAACCCTGTGTTATAAGCGCCACCGTTGGAGCTCCCGGCGCTTAGGATTGTCTGTGAAACAATTTCAGCATGCCAGGATCTATTCTTCCCTCCGAATCTGGCTGAAGGGCTATACTCACCGCGATGAATGTCCCCGGTAAAAAGACCATTGTCAACGCAGCAATCGCATTCATGCTGGTACTATCCCGTTTCATGCTCGCCGCCAATTGGATGTTACTCGCTGCATCCTGCTGCGTCACGAGGTTATACACCAGCGCCATCGTGCTGTCTTTGCGGTTCTTGTAGTTGAGGAACCATATCTTCTGCTTCTGCATGGACTCAATGACATACGTGATCGAGTCGGATGCGCGCTCAAACACCCGGGCCGGGCTACACATGGCTTCATGCAAGCGAGCATGCGCCGTGCGGATCGCAGTGGCTGTGATGATCGCGACGTCGGCGTTGCCCAGATGCGAATCCGCATTTTGGGATATGATTTGCAGTTCTTTTGTTAGTTCTCCTAACCTGCGGCGATCGTTGGCTTCGAGCCCCGCGAGATGGTCGTCGACCTTGTTAATCTGGGTCCACATGTATCGCCGGAATCGGTGGACGTGATATTTCGAGGCCTCGAAGGATAATGTTGAAAGGATGACGGCGAGATCGAACGGATCGTCAAGCAGGATTCCTGCCCTTTGCTCTGCCGATGCCGTTTTTATCGCCAGATTGAGAATGTTCTGCAGGGCTTGGATACTCGAGTCTCCTTCCTTGTGGGAAATGATATAGGTCGTGAGATGCAATGCCGCATCATAACGCACATATACTGATAGAGGTGCTCCTTGAAAGTGCAAGTTCCAGCGGGGATGTTGACAGTAGAAATCTGCAGATGTCAGCCAATTTCAACTTATCAAACGCAACAGTCGGATGTAACGGACCACAGGCTAATATGTTACTATTCCTATCGGACGTCCATCGTGTCTGCGGCGCCCAGTAGTCCGGTCTTCCCAGCAAGTTCATAATAAATGACGGATCAGCGTTCAGGTACTTGAAAAGGTCCATTGTGCTGTCTTGAGTCATTGATATCCGACTTGCAAACGAAGTATGCTTCTCTGGTATAAGAGGGACGAAGCTATTCTGACTGTCAGTGAGCGAAGGCGACAGGTGTCTGGAACATACAAGGCAAGTAGTCTTGAAGGTTTTGAATGCCCAAAGGGTGCATTCGTATGAAATGGTCTTGGAATACTCTAACCTGCGCATCAGCTCCGTTTCGTCTGGTGGAACAGATGCTCCTACCCGCAGGAGTTGAGCCAACCCACGCGAATCAAGCGTATTGCAAGCTTTCCACTATCAGTAACGGATCAAGAACTGTAAGACGGTCGCGCTGACTGACATGCGGTATCTTCATTCACGTCCAGACACATGATTTCAGTCTCGTCGGAAAAGTTCCGAGGGTTTTTCAAATGCGTGTCATGCTGCACCGCTGGAAAGACGTCCTGGAGGGACTGGAGGTTACCGAGAGGATAGTTACTGCGGTCTAAGCTGAAGTTAAAGTCGAGATCCTTGGCTTCTAAATCGCTTGCTCGAGCATGACGAAAGATATCCTTCATCTCAATCGAATTCCTTCGAGGAAGAACCTCCGTCTGCGAGAAGGACGCCTCTAGCCTTGAGAAGTTGGTATCCTCAGGGTCGGTGCTCGTTGGCTGGACGCTGCCCATTGTGCTGGTGTTGCTCTGCTACCACTGCTAGTTCGTTCTGTCTGACTGAACAAGCTCAGCTATTGTTAAGAATGTGGGGACCCCACGTCTTGACTCCAGACTATATCTGGCGACATTGCGCAGACGGCTGAATTCTCGCTCACTAAGATCAGCCACATCTACTGGGCCTGTGTGACACGAGCTATTCGTCTGAATGATGCTGGATGATACGCCACCAACAGACAGAGCGTTCTGTCTGACCCAGCCGCCGGTCCGTTGGCCATGCGGAGACAAAACAAATTTCGTCCTGTTCTCAGCCTTGCGAGTTCTAAGGCCTGCAGAGTGATAATCATCTTAGGAAACCATGATTTCGGATCGGCAAGGGTTGAAAGGCTGAATACATGGATTGACCTAGAATGCATGAGTGGGTGGGACAATGGTATGAATCTGTCAGCCGCCAGGAGGCGGAGAAATCGAATGGAAATGGATATGGACACGTAGTAAGCACTAAGCCTGGTTCAAAAATGGCCCAGGTCTTGGTATCATTATTCTTATTGACCTGGTTTCTTTTCTTTTTCTCGATGTCAGTCGGGAATTGAATATTCGTATCCTGGCTTCCACCAATCCTGGCCCTGCTGCTTTCCACGTGCTATGGCGACTGCGATCGACTATGATGCTCTCCTTGCAAGGTTTGATGACCTGGTTGCTCGTGAAATCATATATTATACCCCGCCAACAACAATACGGCTGAACGACGGGGACTTTCCTGTGAGAAACTCCGGCGTTAAATCGACATTCGCTAACAATATCAATCCCAGTTCGAATTCTATATTAGTCCTTCACTCCGCACAAAGCCGGCGTATATCGGAGACAGATTCCACTCCAGTGATAGTACAACATCTGAAGGCTTCGGACCAGGCAGTGATATTGCCAACGCCGATCCAGACTTGCTCATCGCCAATATTAACGAGACTCATCTCCTCGTAATCAACAAGTTTTCTGTTTTCCGGCCACAGTTGCTCTTGTTGACAAGCGACTCCTACCGGCGGCAGCATGAACCGCTCACTGTGGGAGACTTTGCGGCGATTCACAGCGTCCTGAGATCTTCAAAAAACCCTCATCTGGTTATCTATAACTGTGGGCCGATAGCTGGCGCAAGCAGGAACCACAAACATGTGCAGATTTTGCCGCGCCCTGCCCATCTATTTCCGGACGACCCGAATTCTGATCCTGGTGTGACTCCGTTTCACTACGTTCTGCGATGTCTTCGCGGTCTTGATTTCGAAAATCCGGACTGCCCCTCCAAACTCTCCGAAGTCTACCAGGAATTATTGGCAGAGGCAAAAGAAAGGCTTGGACAGTCAGCCAGCACCAATACTGAAGGGTACTTTCCACATAACGTCGTACTGGTCCGAGAGTGGATGATTGTCATCCCCAGGCGCAGTAACAATTTTGAGGGCATCACGGCCAATGCCGCCGCAATGATGGGCTCTGTTTGGTTGAAGAGTGAAGACGAGTTGGATCGTTGGAAACAGGTCGGGCCGACCAAAGCTCTGGCGGGTTTGGGGTTTTCGAGAGCGCCTGAGAAGAAGGGCTAGCATGCATTATAAACAGCGGTGGATGCATTCGAAACGTGATTAAACTTCTTTAAGCAATATACCTAAAATAAATACAGAACGCTCGCCCGAAGAAATCATCACAATATCTTCATGGCCGCCTCCGCCAGATGTACGGGCTCCAGTTCCTGATTCTTGATGACGGAAATCAAATAGTTGGTCCCATATTCCGACACAGCGCGGACAATCACATTCTCTCCGTATCCACAGTCCTTCTCCTTAGGTGCTGCTTCAGTGTATTCAGCAAAGCTCTCCTTCGTGGTTGCATCTTCCTTGGACAGCAACACCCGGCTGGCGAGGTCTCTTGCCTCCTGATAAGTCAGGAACACCCCCTCGATGTCGATATCGCGCACCCTGCTGCCCTCATCCGCGCTGTACTCGACATTAGCTTGTACCACGTAGTACAATGGCTTGGTGATGTGGCCCTCAATGACTTCGTCGACGAGCTCTTCGTCCTTCGGGGTTGTGATGATATGAACCCGGAATTCTGTTCCATCTGGTGCAACAGCAAAAACGGCTAATCCAGATCGCTCGGGAAGATCTTTATTCTCAAATATTTCGGGCTTGGTTTCATACGTGGTGAACCACTCCTTTTCGTAGCCCGCGTCAAACAGACAGCGGTATGCAGCAGCTTTGGCGGCTTGGAGATTTGTGTAGGTCGCTGGGATTCGGACCTTTTCGACAACGTTGTTAGGGTTCTTTTGAAGATGACTTGTCGTCAAAAGGATGTGGAACAGTTGTTCGGTGGTTGAGCCCATGGTGGCGACAGTATTAGGGGATATGTGATACGCAGATATTCCCGTGCTAGATTGTTGATGATTACTCTCTAGGTCGCTATCTCAAAACGCGATTTATATACTCGCTATACAATCTTAGTCATTCTTGCCTTTGGTTATTTTTTGTATCATGGGGTGATGTGGCTTGACGATGGCATGTTATGCGTGGCATGATGCTATTCCAACATAACCCGGATCCTTAGGATTTTACCGCATCGTGATTTTGATGATTTTAGAGTGTCATCAATGATTCTTCGGCCGAATAAGTGGAGGCTCCGACCGGATGATAGTTTGATCCCATATAGATTATCTTGAAACAGTTGTTACTAGAGGAAACGTGCCAGTGACGGTCATAGTTCATTTAACATCCTCCAACCGGACCTGAGCCACGAAAGAAGTAAACTCATTTCAGGACCTATAGTTCGGATGTCCTTCGTCGCCAGTCACAACCCAAGTCCGCGTCTCGCGGATGATCCCAGTTTGACTGGATTGGCTATCCGCATCCCACGCCGGTGACGCCGACACCATAGTCAGATTCTGCCCTGATGCCACCGGAACCAGCTCATGGTGCTCCTCCCGGCTATGGTGTGTCCCCGATGGTCCGTACGACCGTGTCGATTGTCCCTTGCCAGTCGAATATTGGTATTCTACCCCTTGAATGCGCAGTCCATTCGACTTGAGCTGATTGAGGAACGGCTTCAGTTGGCCCCAGCACGCCGTGACTATACTCGCACATTGTACAACCTGCGACACAATTGTAGTAGGACAGTAGTCGTATGTTGGGTCAGTGGAATGGCGAACGTCGTGGGAGAAGACAATCTCGATAACTGTCGCTATGATCACACTGCATAGCAGAGGTCAGTCATGGCCGTTTCAACAGAAGGACCTAAGTATAGCACGAACATGAATCGTGATAGAAAGATACTGGCGAACACGACCTTTTTCTTCCAGGTCGCCTGAATACCGGCAATCAAGAGCAGAGCCTGTGCAATGATCATACAATCGGTCACAATATTCGACACAGAAAGGAAGTAGTTCCAAGCGGCCTAGCATGAGTTAGTGCTAAATTAGGCCTGATACTACTATTAAGAACGGACAGGGTGGCTACCAAATTGAAGCATTGCCCATGCCAATAATCCCATGGACGGGGCATATGACATTGAAAGGCAGTACCAATGACGCCAACCACTCCCAGAACCGTAATGAGACCCTGCAGGACGGCGGCCTGGAAATGATCCTTATGCACGGGGGTCAAATTGCGAATAAATGTCGAGAGTGATAACTTGGAAAGGCAGAGGCTTGCGACGTATAAGATGTAGCCGGCATACTGGGACTGGATACGAGGTTAGCTGGACTTAAAGCTGCAGATGCCGTTAGCAACGACGTACTTTCATGACCTGGGCAAAGTTTTCACCCGAAACAGTCGCGAAATGATAGCCATATCCGTGGGCTACCGCTGTCGAGATGGCGGCAGATTGTGCAATGGAGACTGCCTGCGTTGAAGTTGAGTAAAATCACAATTCACCTGGGCTTTACATCTGTAAACATACCAAAGATGCGATTATCAGGTAGTCATCGCTGGTCAACCGGTGAAAAATCCAGAACTTCGTCCCCAGTCGAATAAGGACGCTTAAACTCGCAACAACGACCAGAAACCAGTTGGTGACATTAACGGCAGGATCCCGGGTATCGGAATTGGCAAATCGCCCCATGTCTGCCAGTCATGACCTGCAGGTAGTTGATGGAAGCCCGGCTACTCAACAGCGCTTGTGAAGCACAATGGCATTCATGTCAGGAAAAGGAGAGGTAACCTGGCATGGATGACATGATGAGAGATGAAAACAGAAACTTGCTCGACATTTAACGTCGAAATCACTGCCAATTCTGAGTAGACCTCACGCCAGCCCACTCTGAGCTGATAGCAACATCCAAAGTTTGATTATGACCAGGGAGGGACAGGGATCTCATCCTGCCGTGCCATCCTCGTGGAGTTTCCACATTGACATGCCACAAAGATTACCAATAATATGTTTCCTGCATTTCGGCTCTCTGCCCTTAGAAACTCTTCTGGCGATCTCAACCAAAGTGCCTGTCTCCGACCCCAGCATATATGTGAAGTTAACTGGCATGCGCATACTACCGCGAACGTCGTGGGAGCTCAAGTACAGCCCTCAATGCGAATTCCAGCCACGGGCACAGCATACACATGGAACATCCCCACCTACTCCGGTGAAACACGCACGGCACAGATTCTGGCTCGTGCATCCAGAGCATGCGACCATCGGAGACAAAATTTTCTCATCCTTGCATAGATACGGAGTAAGGTTACATTGTTGGCCGAACCCTTGTCGCGCCAAGAGACGTCACGTAATAGGGGCGGATTCTAGACAGCGGATTGACGGTGGTCTAACTGATTTCAGCAGCCGATGCCGATTGACAATAGGACTAGTTTCAGAGTAGATCGTCTAACGAAGTCTACTCGCGACACGATCAAATGCGTCTTGGCTCTAGTGGGTGGGCGGGACAAGAATTCGAGACCAACAAAGCATATCCTAAGCCTTGTGATCAATCGAAGACTCGGCAGTCGGACACTTGAGCATCGCAATAATAATAAAGACCGATCTTGTCTTATGATGCCAAGTTCATGGTGGTCTTCGACCGCCGGCGTCGAAGGCGACACGGGTGAACCCCCTGATCTTATCCTGGTTGCAACCCCTGGGAATGAACCATTAGACAGGGGTATGACAGGGATCGTAGACTAGAGAGGCACCATCGAAATCGGCTTCAGTCGGGGTTACTTCCCACCCATAAGATGGCCTCCCTTTGCGTTCAGGACTAGAACCTGAATGGAAGGTGTTTCGACGGTGGCCAGATTGGTCTTGGAAACGTGGGTGCTGTCCAGCAACCCACTTTTCCCTGCTTTTGGACCTTAAAATGAACCATTCCCGACGTTCATAACAACAAATTCCAGCAGCCATTCAATTTTATCGCTGGTCCTGCTGTTCCGTGGAATCATAAACATGGAGTCGCACGAACTCAAGCATCGCGCTGTCTCCGCGAACGAAGAGGTCCGCAGCCATGATCGCGATGTCACCGATCTGGCGCGACTGGGAAAGAAATCGGTTCTGAAGGTAAATAAGCTGCTTCTCTTCAACTGTTTTTAATCTGACCTCGTTTTAGCGAACATTTGGCATCCTATCCACACTCGGGTTCAGCTGCACAATTCTTGCGACATGGGAAGGCTTGTTCAAGTATGATTCCTAATCTCTCGATGACCCAACATGCAACTAATAAATTCTCCATAGTACTCTGCTCTTACCTCTATCAAAGTCAGTAATGCAAGGCGGGAGAAACAGAGCCAAATCTAACAGTATCCAGTGGAGGTCCGGGAGGCGCAGTCTATGCCTTTATTTTCGCATGGACAGGAACCGCATGCTGCTTTGTGGTAATATCTGAATTGGCCTCAATGTACGTGGACATATCTTGCAATTATCTTTGCTGTTTGAAATTAAATACTAACAATTGCAAGGGCACCAACTTCTGGGGGCCAATACCACTGGTGCGCAATGCTTGCTCCGCCGAATCACATGAAGTTCCTCAGTTACATGACTGGTAGGTCTGTCATCGAATCACCATTGTCACTACTAACCTCCTCATCATAGGATGGGTTACCGTCATTGGATGGCAGGCCGCATTTGCCTCGTCCTCGTTTCTTGCAGGAACTCAGATCCAAGGCGCCGTCCGTCTCGGTCATGAACTTTACCAGGCGCAGCCATGGCATGGAACCCTCATCATGTGGGCGGCAGTCCTGTTGGCGTTGGGAATCAACTTGGTTGGAGGCAAGTTGCTTCCCCGGCTCGAGACGGTTATCCTGGTGGTTCATCTGCTGGGCTTCTTTGCCATTCTCATCCCTTTGACCTACATGGCCGACCACAAGAGCTCGCACGACGTATTTCTCAACTTTGTCAACAGTGGTGGATTTCCCACTCAGGGGCTGTCGTGGTTTGTTGGAATGACAGGTTGCGTTTTCGCCTTTGCTGGGGGCGATGCTGCTGTGCATGTATGGTCCCTCCCACTGCCTTGAGAAATTGAATCATTGACCAGAAGCAGATGGCCGAGGAAGTGCGCAATGCATCGGTGGCAATCCCGAGGGCTATTCTACTGTCGGTTCTCATCAACGGAGCGCTCGGATTCGGCATGTTGATTGCCGTATTCTTCTGCCTGGGTGATCTCGACGCTGCCCTAGCATCTCCCACTGGGTATCCATACATGGAGATTTTCCGCCAGGCCACAAATTCAACTTCGGGGGCCCTGGGAATGACCTCGATCTTACTGATTATTGGAGTCTGCTCTGTGATTGGAATGCTCGCCGCAACATCTCGTCAGTTCTGGTCATTTGCGCGTGATCGAGCTGTCCCAGGATGGCGCATCTGGAGCAAGGTATGCTCATCACCGCACTTTCGAGTAAAAATAACTGACATGCTGTCTCTTCCAGGTCTCCCCTGGTAATTGCCTCCCCACGTACTCCATCCTTCTAACAATGACCGTATGCTGTCTTCTTGGTCTTATCAACATCGGCTCTAGCGTCGCCCTGAATGCGGTCGTCTCCATGGCCGTTTCTGGCCTTTATCTTTCCTACCTCATGGTCGGAAGTCTTCTTCTCTACCGGCGGTGCACGGGCGCCATCTCACAATACGACCACGGAGAAGACGGGGCCGTCAATGTTCCCGGGGCCAAATTGGCCTGGGGCCCATTCCATGTGCCGGGAATTTGGGGCACTGCGGTCAACACCTACGCGGTGATTTATATGGTGATTGTCGTGTTCTTCAGTTTCTGGCCTTCTCAAATGTCGGTCGACAAGACAACGATGAACTTTAGTGTGGTCGGCACTGTGGGGACTATTCTCCTGGCACTTCTGTACTATGTGCTGCGGGCGAGGAAGGTGTACACGGGACCTGTCATGGAGGTTTCGATCTGATGATGATTGGAACAGTCATTCGTGTATGAACATATTTCATAATATATACAAAATCCTGTGAGACTAGACGTTATTTGGCCCTGACTCATTCTGTTCGAAGAAGGCTCGGTTACATAGAGGACACAAAAAGTGACGCCCGAGGAACCACTGCTCCAGGCAGTGTGCGTGATATACATGGCGACAGGGCAACACGTGCATTAGGTCCATTCCATTTACATCTTCGAGACACATGGAACTAATATAGTTGTTAGTCGATCAGTTCGAGAAAGTCTAAGAGCAACGATCAACCTACCATGTAAAGCGCGTCGAAGCGCGATCAGACAAGTCTTGCTCGACCTGGGAGCGTTCTATCCATTCGTCATACGATTTGGTGGGACAGAGAGACTCCAGCTTTTGCAGCATTTCTGTGTCCGACTGATGCTTGGTTTTCTCTTTTAAGGAGTTTGAGGCTGAAGCACGAGCTGCATTTTTGCGCACTTGGCAGGCAATCACTCTGGTACATTCATTAGCTTTGATGCACTTCACTCTTCAACTGTCTACCGTTGGCTCCTGAAGAGCACCGAGAGACTGGGCCTCATACATCATTGCAACAACGATGACAGCAAATGCCCCGATAGTCACCGCAATCACCGCTATTGGAGAATTTGATCCCTGGGTCACCATGGTGTGTGAAGATTATTATCTGCATGAGTAAATGCAGGAACAGGGTCATGGCAAACGCGATAGATAAATGACAGCAGAGAGCCTGTCCGGCCGAAATAAACAGAGTCCATGTGCTCAACAGTCGGATCATCAGCCACCCATGGTTCTGTTTCATGAGCATCAAGTGAGCTCTGGGAGCTCCTGTGGCAGTGCTACTCATGTGCTGGCATTTAGAGTGCGGTGGCTCAGGCTATCCTCGGGTAGGCCGTCCGTGGATCGCAATCTCATTGCTTCGGCCCCGTGAACGATGTAATCGATTGAAATTCCCATTGTCTAGATTGCCATCGATCGACACAAGCTGTTGATCGGGAATATCCGAGACATGAGAGCTCATTGCCCCACAACATCCCCAGAGCCCGAGACACCGCGTGCCAGTCTGGTTTCGACTCGATGAAGTATTTGCCTCCCGGCCGGCATTCCTCACGCCACGTTTGTCGTCAGCTTCACAGCCACACTGGAGGGTCGACTGATGAGGGAAATAATGTTGAATACTGTAAGCGAGCATTCCTGAAATGATTTTGGAAATGGCATCCGACAAATCATTCTTCGGACTCGATGCAGTCGTCATCCCTTCTTGCTGTCTATAATCCCATGGGAACGATTATTGGCGCCCCCCCCCCCCCCCCCCCCCCCCCCCCCCCCCCCCCAAAATATTTTTCATACAGGAGATGGTCTGTTCTTGGATCGTGCATGGAATCTCAGTGTGTAGGTCTGTCACGTCGATGTTTGCATTAGAAGATTGGATTTCAGAAGCAACAGGGCGCTACCCATCGGTGTCAGATACTATGCTGTATTATGAAGGTGTCGCGTAGGATGCTTGTTACTAGAATACCGTGCTGATCATGCGATAAATAAAATTATAGAGCCGTAAAGACGCCGAACTCCTGCCTGGGATAGCTCTGTAATAGGTTCTACATATCAGAACAATCGTGTAAAGGAAGGCGTCTGGCCGCCTACCCCCAACTAGACCAAAGGCCATTATGGCCAGATCCTAATGGATCTGATCAACCCGAATACATCTAAATACCTTAATCATTATTTACAAATCGCAGTATACATAGCCACAGCCATTTTTCCAAGGGAGGCTGGTATGCCAGAGCTCGTCGGGAATGTGAGATCTGGTCTATGTCTTGGAACAACCAAGCGCTTTCCGATCCTGTTATCGGACGGGGAAAGACCACCAATCCAGGTTGGCTGGCTAAAATGTCAGCTAGGCCTCTTGCTCATCCAGAGGCATAATGGCCGACATGGAAGGCTTCTGTCTTCTGCTACGATCAACTGGCTTAGGCGATCAATACCGGAAAGCCGTTCAAAGAATGCTCGCCTCGTGGCCATTGGAATGCAATGGCGAATTCGTGGCCCACACATTCTGGAGTTTCCATTCCTCATCTTCAATCGACTTCATTGTTCCCATCCAATGAAGCCAATTCTGTCTGGTTCAGCCTATCCCTTGCGTGAAATCTGAATCTACACCCCCATCCGCCATGTGATTCGCACCAGGGCCACCAACCGGCGATCAGCATGAAACTCCCAGAAATTGGTCTTAGCTATCAATAGATTGCCTACTTTTGATTCCTGGTCACCTTCGACACAGCAGAAGACACAGACACTCAGAGTGGCCTTCCGAATGGGGCATAGTACTCCATGTCGGGTCTGTCGTATTTCTGTTGCGAAATATCGCATCTATATACAATCAATTATTCAATAACGGATAAGACCGTCTTGTCTAGCTTGGCTAATAATAGTGTCTCCGTATTTTGATGAACAATAAAAGACACACAGACACTTCAAGCCAGTGACCGTGGCAATGCACCCCAGGACCACTTCTCATATCAGCCTCATCACTGAATGACAGTGAGAATGTCACTCAAATCATGAACCACGGCAGTTGGCTGTAGATCGGGCACAGCAGCATCCATCCAGCCGCGGCGAGCTCGATCCACCCAGATGGCGTGCATACCACAGCTTCTAGCACCGATCACATCGAAGGGGTTTCCACTGACCAGCCATAAGTCCGCCATCTGTGAGGACGGCGAATTTCCCATCTTCCGGGCGAGATGGGCGTACACTGCTGGAGCAGGCTTGAACTGCCTCACCTCATCAACCGTGATGATCTGTTTGAATACGGCACTGTGAGGCGATAGATCCGTGGAGTCGCGTACGGAGTTGGTGACCATGGCCTGTGTCCCATTCGAAAAGACTACCGCAGTGATATCGGGACGATTGGCCAGCTGGCCCAGAGTAGCCTGAACGTCGGGAAAAGTCACCAGGCTGTGATAAGCTCTTAGAAGCTCGTCAATCGCGTCTTCGTCTAGCTTTTCATCATGCTCTGCTACGGCATGACGCAGGGAGTTTTGAGTGATATTTGAGAACGAGTTGTATTGTCCTGTTTTCAGGATTAATTTTAGAGTTTCAGGGGTATGCCATTATCAACGATACCCATGATATTGAGACTCCAGGCGTATTCCAACTGATATCGTCTCCATGATGTGGAGATGGATTGTGCTTTGGCATTGGAGAAGTGTTGCCCAAGCTGTTTCACAATAGAATCTGTGGATAAGAGTGTTCCATACAGATCGAAGGCGACAACAACCTTATTTTCTGCCATTATGCTTGTTTTAGAAATGAGAATCATTTTATTCGATGGTTGTGTACGAGAAAGTGTATTAGTAGTGGCATTAAACTGTGGTTGAGGGTGTCACATGGCGCTTAGTCATGGACACTTGTATTTAGGTACCTTCGCAAAGCCATAGTTGCAGAATGAGAGACACCTTACGCACACCTTACACTGGGACTGTGATGTCACCTCTCCATAGTTCAAGAAACATGAGGCACCTACAGTATTCGGGACCCAGTCAAGCAGTTGTGCCCTGACACGGGAGTCAGATTGCTGTACATACCTGCAAACATGAAACAGAATATCTTTAATCGGCTAGGCTGGGAGGTGGGATGTTGTAGATGCACATAGACCTGAACAAACTGTGACCAGATAAGGCCCCTCATGAAACCGTCTTTTGAACTTGCGGAGAATACGATACCCCCTGCATGGAGACAAGGAAACTGACGCAAGAGGATTGCTAGAGCAGGTGATTTAACTTCTATCAATCAATATGAGAATTGACGGGGTAACCAGTAGTGGGCATGCCGAAATCGATAGACAGAGTTTAATTGATTCCTCTTCTAGGTATATATAGTCCATATAGGTATTACGTGACGTCGTATAAAATGTCCCTAATCAATCCACTCATCCATATCTTAGGCAGGGTGAATACCCACAGTAGCAGGCCGTTCTATAAACACCATCAGTAAGAATCAGCATCTTCATTTCAACATCATAATATGAGCAAACCACTTACCCGCCAACAAATCAACAAAAACCTTTCCATCAACTAATGCCAGAACCGCACCTATTTAAATCCGTGAGCTTGGCTCTATTCCCCACCCAAAAAACCATAAACCCGAGCTCTAGATCAGAAAGTCAATACATACCACCATTCCTAATAACTATCTCTCCATGATCATCAATAATAGTCCTTTGAACCGAGTTCTCATCAAACTCGGGCCCCTTCTTGTGCCAGAATACAGGCTTGGGAAGCAGGCTGCGATCCTCGATTGCGAATCGTCCAAGGTACCAGCCGTCGGACTCGAGGAGGCCGTCGTTGAGAGTGAAAACGGCTGGGTTGTTGCCGCCGGTCTCTGCGTGGATTCGTTCTTCTTCGGACTCGAAGTTTTTGGCGATTGGGGTGCCGTTGAGGGTGATGATGAAGGAGCTGGGGAGGTTTGCCATGGCTGTTGACTTGTCGTTTTAGGTTGACAAGAGGAGCTATGGAATAGAGGAGCAGTGTGTGTGAGGGTATTTGAGATGAGAGGAAATAAGAAGAGCAAGATGAAGAGATGGGGAGAGATCCGGCTCTTAAATAAGGTATGGAGCGATTGTTGCCCCGCTGGGTTTTGTCGATCTTTATTCTTCAGCAAATGGGATCCGTCTATACACTCGCAACTGTAGCAAGGAGGGGTACAGTAGCCTGAGCGCCATCAGTGCGGGGCATCCACAGTTCAGCTGGAGCTGAACATGCTCCATGTCAGATGCACATTGATTTTTAGCTACAGAGTGATGGTGTGTTGTGAAAGAAATCATAGTGCCTTAATAACTTTCCAATGGGCGTAGGAGTCCCACAGCCGAATAAAGACCACGATCGACGGCAAATCACTCGAAACTGTAAGTAATCGGGAAGGTCAATGTACGTTGCGATTAAACCAAAGGACTCCAGTGGTAGGGTATGAAAAGAAGCCATTGTAGTCCTTGTATGACCAATGCTATCTATGATATATCGCAACAAATGAGCAAGGCCGGCGAGTTTTATCACACCTGGCTGGAAATTATATTATTCGAGCGGTCCGAGTAGTAAAGTTGTTTCTGAATTGGGAATCTCCTGCATAATCCACCTGATGGCGTGCACAGTCTCAGGGCTTGCAACCTCTTCATACTTGCTGGGCCATGGACCAAAGTATCGGAATTGCTGCTTCAAAACTTCTAAATTACGCTCTTCATGGCCGCGAACAAGTTGAAGTCACCTCCGTAGATGAGCCGTCCTAGCTGCAGGCAGATTAGGGCTTCCCTTGCAAATATCCGTCTATGATCACGAGGTTAAAAAGTTTACCACTGCTCCAAATGTCCCCAAGGAGTTTCCATAATCATTTCTGGACTGCGCCAAATAGGCGCTCCCAGTGAAGTTCCCGATCTTACCCACTTCGAGTCAACATGGCATACGCCAGCAAGGTCTTCAAACAGGACCTCTGAAAATCGCACATCGGTCTTCATGCCTCTGTCTATATAATATATAATATATAAAGACATTATGGGGCTTGGAATCTATGGATATATGTCATCGAGACTTCTAAATACATAAGCTGAGTATCTCATGCCATTAGCTGCATGTACATAGCCGCCCTCATGGAGACTGTTCAGCGCTTCAAGAACACATCTGGAGAAGTATTTTAAGTGCTTTTCGGTTCAGAGGCTGCTTTTCGTTGCTTGAAGCAGATCATCCTCAAAGTATTTCAAAACAATAGAAGTTGGCTCAGGCGGATCTTCGATTTCGTCGATTAAGGGTCGTAAGCAAGACGTTCTGCTCTGAAAGGATGTAAGGACTCTAGTTCATTCTTCGCACATGGATGGCCCTGGACGCCATTAATGATGACGGTCTCTTTGGCTTGATTGCTGGGCAGTACGAGTGAATATGATTCCAAATAACCTGGCTCTTGTGCACTTACTGTGTCAACCAAATAGTGTCTCAGATATGCTCTGCGATTCTGTATTTCCCAACTTGCATCGAAGAATCTGTCCAATTCGAAAAAGCGGAGACAACGTTGTCTCTAGGTCTGTATGGAAGATGGTAAGAAATAGTTGTCCTTGTGCATTGACATCATTATCCCAGGGTACAGAGTAGTCGGAGGTTGAATTTCACATAGCAGACGGCAGAGCGACAGTCACACAGCATTCAATTTGCGCCATTGTAAGTTGCCTATCTGAGTCAGCGCCATATTCCAAGTCCCTGTCTCTCAGGCGAGTGCCAAAAAACGTGGTGAACTAGGGGCACAGCAAGCCATTGGGACAAAAGCAAAAAAAAAGGCCTTAAAAATGTGTTTTGCTTTTTTCACAAGGCAGTAGGAACCTAACCATTTTATATTTGAATCACCCTCTCTTCGTTAACTAATCTACATTCAAATAAGCATTTAATATCTCACGAGTCGAATTAGTAATGGTCAAAAACTAATTTTTAACAAACTATAGTGGTTGTTTGGGGAGGGGGGTTAGGTACGTCTAGATATATATCTAGTTATTTACATTGTACTAACTATGACAGAAATTACTATTCCCTTCTATCCCAGCAACCACTAGATATGAATGCCTATATAGTAGGGATGGATATCAAAATTTATAGCAAATGTAATTTCAGTGGCCGAATCGGTCATTCCTCTATTTCTCTGCCACCTTCTAAGGCCCAAAATCACACATCAAACAAGTGTATAAAAGACAGGAACCGCAAAAAATGCCTTCCCCACAAGTCTTAAATGATTCCTGTCTCCCTTGCAGTCTGCAAAATAGCATCAACCACTGGAGCGACATCTTTCGTCTTGATCGGCACCCGGTGGCCGCCATCCCACTCAATAACACGAGCGGTGTCCCTAACGCAGTCGCGATGTAGCAGTTCCCGATGTATTGCGAGGCCTGGGTCCCGCGTGCCATGCACGTGGATTGTGGGCAACCGCAACTGTAGGGAGGGAGGCACACCATCGACTACATCTTTGCGCGCGTTATCCAGTGCTACGAGAGGACCTCTGCCCGCGAGGAGTACGGCAAATCTGTATTCAGTGTTCGTTATTGTGTGGTTATTCGGCCGGTTCCGTCTTGCATTCTCCTGCTGCCGGCGAAGGAGTAGACAGGCAGCCATTCTAGCCCCTTGACTGAACCCAAGGAGGCCAACTATTGATCCTGTGGCTCCAAACTTGTCATCTGCCAGCACTGCATTGGAGATTGCTGTATCGACGGCTTCCACATCCACGGATCCAGGGGCCCATGTAACCGACATGGCTCCTCCAGCAGTAGGGCGCACCCAGCTTCGAAAGGGTCCCCATTCAGCATAGACGGACTCAACGTCCGGTCCGGGTCCAGAGAGAAAAGGCGCATCGGCAAAGATTAGGCGAAAGCGTCCCTCTAACCGCAAGCTTAGGGAACGGCACTGAGCCCGGAAGATGCGTGCGTTGGTTCCGCCGCCGTGCAAACAGAGAATACGGGGGAGGTGAAGGCCAGGGTCAGAGTGGACCGTGGGTTCATTGGTCTTAGGTGATGATTCTGAGGTTATAGTAATCATTGGGTCTCGTGTACTCTGTGTTTGAGAAGCGGTTCGAAAATAGAGCCAGACGAATCTTTCTGTGTTGGGCAATCTGTAGGCCGTAAAGAGGATTTACATCGAGACTAACAAGATCAACGGACAGAAAAAATAGTGAGAATAAAAACAATACGCAATGGGAACGAAGAGAATAGTTATGATGAGTGCCCTTACTAGTGGAACCTCGGAGGTCTCGTACTTTTCTTTATCGCGCGGGGGTAAATGTCCAACACCCAGTTGGGTCAACGTATGGCGTTTGTGACATTGGAGATATCCTTATCACCCAGCCCCGCTTCCCCAACCTGCCTGGTAAGAACACTGTTCAATCCCTGTGGTCTACGGGAAATGTGCCGAAATGGACCGAAGTCCGCATCCCTGGACGCCATTCGAGGCAGGCAAACCCTACGTTTCGTTATCTCGAAAGATAATAATCCAGTGGATTGGCTGCTGCATGCACAGAGCAGACGGCAGCCGCTGCAAGACGACGCCGTGTTCGGTGCTTGGAATGGCCGAGAACATGTCCTCGATTTCGGTTGTTGTCTGCAGGATCAGTTTCCCTGCACAAAGAGCTGCTGTAATTCGTATGCTCGGCATCGCATAAAGGTAACTACTTGCAGGTTGCTGATCCAATATCAGTCTTAGCTTACGTCGCATCCAATACCGAGGGTCCTCCTGTTTGCCGATCCTTTGATTTCCGTCCCCTCAGTAGTCATAACAGTTGTCTTATGTCAAACCACCCAAGCAAAAAGGAGTCTAGACATCCATCTCTAGCTAGCAGGAGATAACAGCAGCGGGACCAATACAGCAGTGATACAACAATAGCCATAAAAGCAATACTCTCATGTGTCAATTCACTGCAGTACTTGAGAAGAACTTCAGTACCCTAACACAATATTTCTCGTCCCTCAGGACCTCTTCAAAGAAATACGACAGCCAAGCGTGTTGTAATCTTCAGTGCAAAGTGGCCCTTTTAGCTTGCAGTCTGTGCTGACCACCACTGAAGCCATCCGTCTGTCACGGTGGCTTTGATTAGCCGGACAGGGATGATCTGCAGATACGAGTGCAGAATACGCATAGTGAGTGTAGTTATTTTCCGACTCCATCCGCGCCTTGCGCTTTGCGCCCTGGCGCCTAGTTTTCGGCCCCTGGTGACAGATGAGAAGTTGCAGTTAAGGCACGGAGAAGGCTAATGCGACTAACACTGGAACTCGGTCAACGTGGTAGGTTTTAGGCAAATTGCGCCTTCTCGTGAAGCCCATGTGGACTCGCAGTTGAAGGACACATGTACATGACTAGGGGAAAGTCAGCTAACCAGTTGCGGATTCCTTATTGGCTCAATATATACAGGCGGAAAAACATGATGTTCCTCAGTAGTGTGAAACTCGCTTGTGGATGATTAGATAGAACAAGAAACTTGGGGCCGCGCAAGATCCCTGTTTGACTACTCACGCCATCGGCTGACGGAATTCCATCACTCGCGATGCGGGAAAATACTGGAGCGCCGATCTTGGTGATATAGAAAGGTCACACATAGTAAGTAGGCAGCTTCTATGCTGTACCACCCAAGGGGCGCAGGGACCTTCTCGAGCCGCGTGCTCCACCTCGTGTCACAAGAAGGTTAAGCTAAAGTGGGGTCATTCGTGCTTTAAAAGCAAGCCTAAATAACACGAACCCACAATCTTATAGTATAATAGAGGTTAGTTTGCCCTTGTGAATTTTGGCAACTCAACGATAGACGCCATAGTAAACTCATGTATTACTTCCTCATGTCAGAAATGCAAAAGGAAAAGGAAAAAGAGTTGGCTGACGCCAGTGCTGCTAAGACGGACCTTATTGTTGGTTCGGCGGACTAATAATTTGGCCCCATAAGTAGTCATTGTCAACCCCGCCGGTCCGTGCCGAACACTTCTGAATAGGCTTGATCTTACCATTTACTGCGTTGGAGCGAGGTGCCACGTCTCGGACGCTCGTGAGAATCTCAGATGGAAACACTTGCTGTATCCGCATAAACCAGGGTTTACAACTTCCTACGTCATGGTCCTACTCAATAGTATGGGGCGGGCGGAGTATGCTATTGCATACAGGGATAATGCGAGACTTTTTATGAATCTTACTACCCTGATTAAGCAGGCCACTGCTGCCATTGGCTGGCCGTAAGTATCTTCTGAGTTTGCCCACTATACGGAGTACCGCACCCAACAATGGGTGCCAGCTGCTATAAACTACTTCTAGTATCTTATTGGTGCACGCCGTACTGATACGAAATCGGCAGGCTTGGTGTAGTAACTTGGCATCACTTCGGTCCAACACGAGCCCAGGAAGACGGCCCATCTAGCTGCCATTAATAAACGCCGTTTCTGCCTCGTCAGACACAGGCTTACTTCCTTGCCCCTAACAAGCTGACACTTTAGCTCCACAGAAACCAAATACTCTGTTTTAGCCCATTGCTTGATGAATATGGCAGATATTGAGTTCAATAACTTCCTTAACGGTCCGCCATTCAGCTCTCACGACGAAGATATCCACCGCGCCTTTGACCAGTGGTGTGGGGTGACGTTTCCCGAATCACCTGCAGCGACTAGCGCAGCTTCTATCTATGCTAATAATGGCTTGGACGACATCGAACACATATACACAGTCCTCCACAAGGGTGTAGACCAGGTAGCTGCAAGACTGTCTGCCCACACGCCGCCACGGCTGGATCAGATAAAAGAGCAAAACCGTATGCTCATCGATAAACTCACATCTCTAGAAAGTGCAATCACCCGTGACACTACGGCGGTTGTACTTGGCCCATCTGCATCGGCACCTGAGTTGGACCGCGAGCGTAGTGGTGCCAAGAAACGACGTGTCTCGCAGTCTACAGGGACTGGAAGAAGTAGCGGCCTACAGCAGCAGTCACACAGGTATGGCCACAGGAGTCCGTCGTTTGGTGGGTTTGAAGTCGATTCCAAGCTGGCCAGGAAGCTGCAGCAGATTGGCAACCAGGAAACCCGGGCTCAAGTGGCAGAGTTTGCGGCACAGTTAAAAGCAGCGGAATGTCACGATGCCCTGCCGACTATCTACCAATTTTCAGATTTGTCGCAGGTCACCGACGTGCCCCATTTTCTCCGGGTGGTTCTACACCTGGGCTGGGCAATTGAAAGCAGCAGTTTTGGGGAGCAAAACTCCCGGATCAAGAAAAGAATCGCACTTGCCCACTTCTACAACGCGTACAAGCTGGCGCAGGATCAGCCGGAGTTGTTTCTCTCATGGTGTGACGATCGACGGGTGCAAGGCGGCTCGATGCTGCCGAAAGGTGGGCACAAGTCGATCGTGCAGCATCGTTTTGCCGACCTGATCTTCTCTCGTGGCGGAAACCACGTGGGAATGCCGTCGGCTCGTCCTCTAGACCATGGCGAGGATGCGAAGAGAAGGATAGCCAAAATACAGATGTGGAGGAAGAGTGGCAAGAAATGGGCGCAGATCATTCAGCGCTTTGGTTACGGGATACTGCTGCTACTGCCCTCTAGTTTGTCAGACGAGGAGTGAGTCTTTCCTGTGACCGAATAGTAGACATGGCTTAACGTGTGAACAGCTTGCGTGTTGCTTCTGACAAGGACACAGCTTGTGTCTTAGATCTGATCGACTCCCGCAAACACCTATTCGCGGATATTTTACAACAGGCCAATGACCTTTTGGAAGCGCACTTCTTTCCACAAGGCCAAAATGCTCAATTGATCAATTCCTACAGTTGTGGCCGTTTTGGAGGAGCGGACTGGGACGATTTCCTGAATACATCCGTTCTAGGAAATTAGAGGCAACGATGCTAAACTGGGACTAGAGAGAATAGAGCGGAGAGATACGGCTGGATTCGGCCGGTAGTACCTTTATTCTGCTTCGCTTTGTGTTGCATTTGTTGGGACACTCGAGCATGGCGCGACATCACGAAGCATCCAAGTATAGAATGATACTGTCTCCTTCTCCTGTCTAGGAAATACTGCCTTTGCTGGGTAATGACGTCCGGTTTTGGTCTGGAGTACGTGTCAAGTAGGCTTTGTCAGACGTTTAACAGAACTCGTTCTCTATTACCATTGCCAATTGACAGCATATCCTTAAGCCCAGGTCAGGCGTCACCTATTGGGACGGATACATCTACAGGTCACGGCCCGCCTCTTGCCTTGCAATGGAGCCTATCGTGTTGAACATTGCACTCAGTTGACACCGCACCGTAGAAGAGCTTCCACTAGCTATGCATTATCAATCGGCCCATCCCCTCTTATGTAGTAAATTCCGTGACCCCATAGTACCCGTCCCAAAACTTCATCACCTCACTGAAATGCGATCCTGGCGCCTCCAACCGTTGCTCAACATCCCAGATCATAATCACATTGTAATTGGGGTTCAAGGAAGGCCAAGTATCACCATGTGCCTGGCCAACATCCGGACTCCCAGTTCGCATAAATCGTACCCAAGCGTCGAACATATTCCTCGAAAGCCCCCTGTCAGCCTCGGTCCAGTCCCACTGCCAAGAGTCAAGGTTGCCAAATGCGTATGGCACACCAGCCACGTGAAAGGAGCCGGCAAACCTTTTCTCGATAACGTCCGAGTTGGGCGGAATTGGTGGTGCACGCAGAAATCGGTAGTACCACACGGACGACTTTAGCTTCTGGGCCTGCAGTCGTGCGGAAGTCCATGTTGGCCAGACAAAGACTTGATCGGCAAGGAGCTGCGATGCTGCATTCCGAACTTCTGAGTCTGTAGTCGCCGGATACAGATGGAGTACTTCTTCCGCGTGTTCTCCGAAAGTTTCATTGACAAAGGCATGGTAATTTGCCAGTGTATCGAGATGCGGCAACCCAGATGCTTCATTCCCGACGTTGCCCGCCAGCATCGGCACGTCAGCTGCCTTTCCCGATAAGAATGCCGTCAGGGGCGATTCCGGAAGAACGTGGCCGTCGATGACTGGATTCGATGTGTCGAACACACTCAAACTGGTTGAACCTGGCCACAGATCGGCCTTCCAAGGCCCTTGAGTGCGAGGCAGGTGTGCCACCATAAGTTTCTGGGCAGGCAGGGTGCGTAGTTCAGCGATGGATGCGACTCCAAGTAGATCTAGCAACTCCGCTCCCGCCTCCTCTGCTGCAGCCAGAGTCGTGAAAGCCGCAACATGACCAGGGCCATCTATCGTCGGTGCCAGCCCCGGCCCGCTCTCGCAGATGGCTTTTGAAAACAGCTGCTTGGATAGAGGGGAAGAGCGAAGGATGTGGACACTGCCACCACCAGCCGAAGCTCCTCCTATGGTCACATTCCTCGGATCTCCCCCGAATTGCCTGATATTCCGTTGCACCCACTCAAGCGCCGCGATCTGGTCCATGATTCCGTAATTGCCAGACCCCTGGTAACCTGATTCGGCGCTCAGCTGGGGATGGGCCAGGAATCCGAATCGGCCCAGACGGTAATTGACAGTGACAACCGTGATCCCTTCGGCTGCCAACTTTGTTCCATCGTACATTGGGTTGGAGGCAGACCCGAACTGAAAGGCCCCAAAATGGAACCAGACGAGAACGGGCCTGTTGTCAGCGCCCTCAGGGCCGGTGTAGACGTTTAGGTACAGGCAGTCCTCGCTAAACTCGGTTTCTCCGCCGAAGTACAAGGACGTGGCCGGCGGCGGCCACTGAATACTGCAGGGTCCGAATCGAACAGCTGACCGCACGCCCGTCCATGGTAGGGGGCGTTGTGGTGGTCGCCAGCGCAGGTCCCCTAAGGGAGGCGCTGCGTAAGGAATTCCGAGGAAAGCTCTTGTGTTGTTTGGGAAATGGAGTCCGGATAATAACCCGGACTCGACCGTGATTGGAGCACATTGCGTGTGCTTGAGATTCTGCGAGTCGGACATCACTCTTGTACGGATTAGGTAACGCTTTTTATTAACACGGGTCGGGGAAGGGGGCCGGAGATAGAAGTAGAAAGAATGATGCCTTGTTTATATGTCCGTGGCTTTACGGGATGTCAGCAATGGCACCCAGAGGTAGTATCATCCGTTACAACTATCGTGAAGCACACATTATTCTAGCCAGATTTGGAGAGAGGAGCCTTCGTTTTTCCTGTGGCATGCAGATGATATACTGACCATGAATGCAAGCCATACGCTCGTATTCGGCTTACTACCTGACCGTTATTGCATCTGATGCGGGATGCTACACTGGTGGCCGACGAATATGATGATAAACCCCGCTAGGCAAGACACTTGACGTTTGATCTGCCGTCACGGCGGAGATATTGTAAAGGGATATTGCCAGTCTTGCAACACTGCGTAATCGTTCCACCAATCCCAGCCGAGGTTCTAGAGTTGGGACCAACTCTCAATTCGATTGCCCCGTTATCCGATGTTTCATGCCGTCCAGTTCCTGGCTGTCCTGCTCCATGATGGCTGCGAATTCACGCTGCGTCGGCGGAGAACCGATGGGCTATATGCGGCTTCGTAAATTACTTTTTGTGGTGGCGCTAGCTCCGGCAACGAACCGCCGAGTCCGAGTAAGCTCAGCCAGGTCGCCAAGTTAAAGCTAACTCGGATTTAGATCCTGGCCAGCCTCAGCACTATGCTCAACCGCCTTGGTGTAACTCGCTCCGTACTTGGTATCTATGGTATAGAAAGGCAGTGATCAGTCTTCGACTCACAGGTCAAAGCTTGGATGACAAGGCAGGAGTTACGACAGCATATGGAGAACAGTGGAGAGTAGTTGGGTGCCTGCAATTTCCATATAAAAGTCGCAGCCGGCGATCTATGATAGTATCTATATATCTTTCAATTGATAGACGAGACCTGAGTGAAGTTTTCATCGTTGCACAGACTCAGGTTCGCTCCTTTTGGAACGGGATACCCTCATCATACTTCTCTCCACCACTATTCTGGCTCCCGTATGGATTACATCTGGACTGGGCTCGCGGCCCTCATAGCCTATACGGTTTATGGTGCCATCTGGCGACTCTTCTTGAGTCCTATAGCTCACTTTCCGGGGCCAAAACTCGCAGCACTCACAAGCCTGTAAGGACTTCGAATCGATTGCAGAACTATATGTAATCAAAGCTGAACTCGATCAGGTACGAAGCATATTACAACAATTGGCTTGGAGGGAAGTACATCTACAAAATCCAGGAGCTGCACGACAAGTACGGACCAATCGTTCGAATTTCGCCTTCTGATCTGCATGTTGGAGATCCCGTATGTCCAAGGTAGTTTGAACCGCTCATTGTTTCATATTCTCTGATTATTTGGACAGGAATTCTATGATATCCTTTACCCCAGCACTACAAGTGGAAGACGGGCGAACAAGTCACCTAGTCTAACCAAATTCTTCGGACTAGACGATTCGCTGTTTTCCACGATTGACCATGATATCCACCGCATGCGCCGCGCCGCTCTCTTACCGTTTTTCAGCAATTCATACGTGAGAAAGATGCAGCCCGACGTTCAGGAGAGGCTGGATGTGCTGTTCAAAAGAATGGCCAGCTTCAAGGATACGGATGAGCCAGTGAATGCGAACTGTGTGTTCGCAGCGTTTAGCAATGGTGAGCGGACTGGAGGAATAATGACAAAGGAAGCGAACTGACAATCCGGTCGATGAAGACATAGTGCAGAAGCTTGCTTTTGGGCGATGCGCCTACAAACTTGGTAAGGGACCTGGTCTACCGGGATAATACGAGTTAACGCCGGTTAATCTCAGAGACCCCGAACTTTGATTCATCGGAGCGCGATGCTTCTTTGGCAGGCGCACAGTCCTTCCACCTCTTGAAACGTATGCCATGGTTAAACACTGTGATGATGCCACTTCCCGAGTCACTTGCCAGTCGCCTGAGTCCTGCACTTGGCTCGTACATGCGCCAGAAGAAGATGACCCGAAAGCATGTCGAACGGCTTGCTTCTGAATCGAAAGACGGAATTTCGGGAAGCGAGACGGGGGCAATCTTTCGGGCTGTTCTAGAGTCTCCCAAGCTGCCACCCGAGGAGCGGTCGGTAGAACGGGTGGCCCAGGACGCCCAGATGTTACTCATGGCCGGCACACTCACCATGGCCTCGACCCTGGAACACTTGATCTACTGGATGGTCGATAATCCGGAGGTGCTGCGAAAACTCAAGAAAGAACTGCACAGCGTGATGCCCTCGGTGGACGATGCCGGCAAGGTCCCGCTTACAACGCTGGAAAGCCTTCCCTACTTGACGGCGGTCATCAAAGAAAGTGTTCGCTTGATCTATGGAAATTCAACACCCCACTTCCGCTATGATCCTGACCAATCTCTGGTTTACGAGGATAAGACGACCGGTAGGCGCTGGGTCATCCCCCCAAAGACTTCTGTCGGCATGACCAGCGTGCTGCTACACCACAACGAGCGCAATTTTCCGAACAGTAAAAAGTTCGATCCCGACCGCTGGCAGGGTGATGAGGGCAGAAAACTGGAAAAATACAACGTGGGCTTCGGCAAGGGCAGCCGCATCTGCCTAGGCATGAATCAGGCATATGGGATCTTACGTCTGGTGCTAGCCCAGCTCTGGAGGTTGTGGGCCAGTCCGGACGCGAAGATTGGGGACGAAATTGGGGTACTCAGTCTGTATAACACGAGTCCCTATGACGTCCAGATGAAGGGGGACTTTTTCGTGGCGGCGTATAACAAGGCCCAGGGCGTCGAGTTCAAACTCAATAGCATGTAACTAGACCATGATTGCCTAATATAACGTCTAGATAGTCCTGATACCATTGGAACTGTTGCTATGATTGTAGAACGACTACAAATTCTCTACTTTACAATTGGACAGTCAGAAGACTTTGAACAAGACTATGCTGCTGCTTCTTCGACATGGCTGCTGGAACTAGACGAATGCACCCCTCTTTCCCTGTATAGCAAGAATCCCTCGTCTACTGTATCGTAATTGATCTTCTTCCTCGTTGGTTCCTATACTGTGAGCGTCAAATATACTATACGAGCCATATATTAAATCCCGTTCAAACCAGCCTGTGATAGTCCAGGATATTCGTACCTAGAAATAGCAGCTAAGCTAGAATGTCGTCGAAGTGATTCGATGAAAAAATCGACCTCGCTCGTGTCTAGTATCTATTCCACAACGGCTGATGTTATTTTGTGCGTGCGCTGTGTATAGGCCTACCACGATCTTCCGGTGGGGTATCGAGTGCATTGAAGCGATAGAAGGCTACTCTAAGGCTAAAGCCCCGCTACCCACGTATGTCAGACTTTGCCAGCATATATATTTGGCGTTCCAGTCACTGAAGGTTTCTTGTTGTCCGGTTTCCCAAGCTCATACTCCATTTTTACTTACCAGTCTCCCCAATGTTATCCTTGGCCGCCGATAGTCTTCCGTCGCTCTTGGTCTTCGGGCCACAGACAGAATTTCCATCGGACCAAGTCCTTCAAGGCTTGCGCCAAGAGCTGATTAGCAGCCCCCAGCTATCCGCTCTCAAGGCAGCGGTCGATGAATTGCCTCAGTTCTGGCAAGGCCTAATCGACTTCGATCCGAGTCTGCGCCAGGTTCCCGGGGGCAAATATCTCGCTGATTTGAAGCAATGGGTCAAGGACGGCGGGCCCTTCCCTAACCATCAAAGCAACGCACCTAACCATTATGGTCTCACTGTCACTGTCCTACTGCAAATCATCCAGTACAGCCGGTACCTTGGCCAACTCGGCAAAGACGCGCATCGGAAGGTTTTGAACAGCGTCAAGATTGGAGGAATCCAGGGATTCTGCGTTGGCTTTCTCAGCGCCGTTGCTGTGGCAAGCTCAAGGAGCGAAGAAGACATTGGTCCTTCTGCAGCTACTGCCCTTCGGCTTGCCGTGTGCATTGGGGCCTACGTCGACCTTGATGGCATATGTTCCCCAGCGGCCACAGAGTACGTGGCGGTGGCTATCAGGTGGAGGGAAGGAGACGCTGAAAAGGCCGCCAAGTTTATTCAGGCAATTCCTAATGTGAGTAGCATTATTATTCTTTCCTCTGGTAGAAAACACACTTGGGACGGGGGCTTACAACTTCTTCCACTAGGCCTACATTTCCAGCATCAACGACGAGGCGAGTGTAACCGTCACTATCAGGGCTGATGATCGCGATGGCCTGATTGACAAAGCTCGCGAGAACAACCTGCGTACTAAGGATGTCCATGTCTATGGTCGTTTTCACACCCACGACCACTCGCATGCGGCAGACAAGCTTACGAAACTGGTGGCATTCTCGAAGGGGTTACAGTTTCCAGACGCGGAGGAGCTGCAAGTTCCAGTCCGCAATACCGCTGATGGCGGCATTATTTCCGGGAGTTCCTTGACTCTGTTTGCCCTGGAGAATACCCTGGTGAATGTCGCAGACTGGTACGCAACCCTGAGGGCTTCCATCCAACAGCTACCCACGTCAAACCAGAATATTGCATTTGCCGGATTCGGTAGTTGTATTCCAGCGTCCATCGCACAGAAATCAGGGGTCCGAGTACTTGCTCTAAGCAACCTTGAAGAGACCAAGACAAAGAGGGAGGAAGTCCTCGATGACGGCCACGTCAATGGTCATGTCAACGGTCACGTTAATGGCGTCAACCGGGTCCAGGATATCCAAAACACCTATGACCTGTCCCAATATCCGGCCCATTCCATTGCAGTTGTCGGCATGGCCGGCAGGTTCCCCGGTGCTGACTCGGTCGATGAGCTCTGGGATCTGATCATGGAGGGCAAGACAACGGTCGAACCTGCTCCCGTGGAGCGCCTTGGTCTGCCCCAAACTGGGGACTACGCAAACACAAAGTGGTGGGGTAACTTTCTGAAGGACCCAGAGGCATTCGATCACAAGTTTTTCAAAAAGTCATCTCGCGAAGCCATTGCCTGGGATCCGCAACAGAGGATCCTGCTGGAAGTTATCTACGAGGCATTGCAGTCGGCAGGCTATTTCGGCGCCTACAACACCCCCGAACCACTCGATTATGGCTGTTATATCGGTGCCGTCATGAACAACTATTACGACAACCTCTCCTGTCATCCCGCCACTGCGTACGCCACAGTCGGAACTTCACGATGTTACCTCAGCGGCTGCATGAGCCACTACTTCGGTTGGACAGGCCCATCTTTGACTATCGATACGGCTTGCTCCTCATCTCTTGTCGCCATCAACACGGCCTGTCGAGCGATCTGGTCTGGCGAATGCTCTCGCGCGGTTGCTGGCGGCACCAACGTGATTTCGAGCCCGTTTGACTATCAAAACCTTGCCGCTGCTGGCTTCCTTAGCCCGTCAGGGCAATGCAAGCCTTTTGATGCGGATGCTGATGGCTACTGCCGTGGTGAAGCCGTAGCAGTKGTCGTTCTCAAGCCACTATCGGATGCTATTAGAGATAACGACAGCATCCATGGCGTCATTGTTGGGTCTGCTGCCAACCAGAATCACAATGTCGGCAATATTACAGCCCCATACTCGGGCTCCCAAATCGAGCTTTACCAAAAGGTGATGAAGCTCGGTGGCGTGCAACCAGAGGCTGTATCATACGTTGAAGCCCACGGGACCGGAAGTGAGTGTCTTGACAATTGTTTTTATTCCCCACTTTGTTCCTCATGACTGACCGCTCCGTATAGCTGGTGTGGGCGATCCCATCGAGGTCCGCAGCATTCGAGACGCTTTCGGTGGGCCTCAAAGAGACTCTGTTCTCCATTTCGGCTCCATCAAGGGTAACATCGGCCACACCGAGGCTACTGCCGGAGTTGCTGGTCTTATAAAAGTTCTGCTGATGATGAGGCACCGAAAAATAACGGCACAAGCGAGCCACAAAAGGCTGAATCCTAAGCTACCAGCGTTTGACCAGCACAAGATGGCCATTCCTCGAGGTATCATGCCCTGGCAGGCTCCTTTTCTCTTGGCCTGTGTCAATAGCTACGGTGCAGCCGGCAGTAATTCAGCCGTGATGCTTCGCCAGGGACCATCTCATAACTACGAGCCAGCATCTGTACAGCTGTCCAGGTATCCACTCTTCATCTCAGCTGGGTCTCTTAACAGTCTTTCTCAGTACAGCAAAAAGCTGCTCAGCTGGTTGAAAGACAACAAGACAGAAGCTCACTCAAATTTCCTTGCTTCATTAACTTTCAATCTTGCAGATAGGGGCAACCACGCACTTCCTCATGTCCTCGCCACAACCGTTGACAGCGTTCGGGATCTGGAGGCCAAGCTTGAAGCAACGGCAGCTGGCTCGGGAGAAATAGTCTCGCAGTCCCAAGAGCGCAAACCTGTTGTGCTCGTGTTTGGGGGTCAGGAAAGCAACTTCATCGGCCTTTCAGAGGACGTATACCGGTCCTCGAAGGCGTTCCGTCAACACCTTGATTCTGTGAATGATCTGCTAATCTCCGCTGGGCTGGAGAGCTTTTACCCGTCCATCTTTGAGTCAAAGCCGCTCGAGAACCTGGTGACTCTGCACTCAGCCCTTTTTGCTGTCCAGTATGCCTCCGCCAAAACCTGGATAGACTGCGGTCTCCAGGTCAGCGCAGTCGTTGGCCACAGCTTTGGTCAGCTCACGGCATTATGTCTCTCGGGCGTGCTTACACTCCCAGACGCCTTGAAATTAGTTTCAGGGAGAGCGGCTTTGATGCAGAAGTACTGGGGCCCAGAGCCGGGTTCCATGCTGTTCCTCCAGGCCAACCGCACGACGGTGGATGAAATCCTTCGGGCATTGAAGTCTGAGCGCGAAGGACTCTACGCTGAGATCGCCTGTTACAACGGCCCCGAGAGCCATGTTGTCGTGGGCTCTTCCGAGGCTATTGACTTCTTGCAGAAGCATGTCGCGAACACGCCACATCTTCGGAATTCAGTGCGCAACAAGAGGCTCAACGTCACCCATGGGTTCCACTCCCAGTTCACCGAGCCGATGCTGTCCCATCTCGACACGTTAGCCATGCAATTGGGTTGGAGGCTTCCAGACATTCACCTCGAGACGACGGATGAGTTCGAAACCAATGCCGAACCGAACTTCCGGCTCGTTTCAGAGCACACAAGACGGCCGGTCTTCTTCCAACGAGCGATCGAAAGGCTTACCGCCAAGTTCTCACAATGCACATGGATCGAGGCCGGTCGTGGCTCCTCAGTCATCCAGCTCGCCAAGATCTCCGTCCCCGATTCAAAAGGCCATGCATTCTATTCTCCCCAGCTCACTTCGGCGAATGCACAAGACTCTCTCACAGATGTCACGGTTAATCTCTGGAAGAGCGGGTATGCGACACAATACTGGCCATTCCACCGGAGTCAGAAACTGGACTACGAGTATCTCAGCCTGCCCCCTATCCAATTCGAGAAGACGCGCCACTGGCTTGGATTCACCGGCAGGAATCCCATGGCAGACAATGCCGTGGTGGAATCCGCCACAGACGCCGAAGAAATCCATGAGCTGCTCACTTTCCTCAATTTCAAGGATGCATCCAAGAATGAAGCAGTCTTCCAGATTGATCCGCAAGCCGACCGCTTCCAGCAAATGCTGGGCGGACACGTCATGGCTGGACAGTGCCTTGCTCCAGCATCCCTTTACTTCGAGCTGGTGGCCCGCGCAGCCCTCTTCCTGGAAGGTGACACCCAGGCGACGACTTACGTCCCAAAAGTGGATGATCTGGTGATGAAGTCTCCAATTGGCCAAAGCACTACGAAGAGGATCAGGCTCGTCTTGAAGAAACTGGCCGACAGCCGTCCTTCAT